GTGTGGCCTTATGACACACTTCCGGTGATGTCAGGGTGTGTGGCATATGCTAATGAGTTATGCTAATGAGTTCCCCTAGCTCTTTTTCTACGAAACGACCCCTGGCAAAATCAAATCCAGTTGCACCTTAAAGACTAACAACATGTACTTCAGTGTAAACTTTCATGTGTCACAGCCCACTTCATTAGATAAATATGTATGGAGAAATCTTACAGAACTGGTTGACTTGGAGAAGTCAAGGCATAAGTCTTTCAAGTGTAAATCTCAACATTAGGGGAAAAGGGAGGAGTTGATGTAGAAAGGAGTTTGTGTAGAAGGGGTAGGTGTGAGTCCCAACATAAATCAATAGAATTCAGAACATGCTGGTTGGTGAGGGAGGCCAGAGGTTTGACGATGAAAGCCCATATTGAAATAAATGCTGTTAGTCTTTCAGGTGGCACAGACGTATGTTTTATTTCACATGGTAACATCTTCACATTTTAACTAGGGAGGGCCGAAAGGAGGGTAAACTTTCTTATGAATAAATCTGGTGTTGTAACCAGATCTTTTGCCGTCACTGTACCACCACCGAGTTGCCATCTTCTATGGTGGATTAGATTCTGGAGGTGAGCCGGCCCTGGGTGGACGCCTAGTTAACCGAAGAATGCTTGTTGTCAGGTTAGGTTGATGAATGGAACTCATCTTGGATTAAGAAAATTTAACATCAAGAGCACCGCACCTTACTTAATTACTGTTTTATACTGTTTAATAATTGTTTTTATGTTGTTTTAGTTGTTGTTATGGCAATTGCCTCTGTTGTAGCCGCCCTGAGCCCGTTGGGGCGGGCGGGGTATAAATCTAATAATAAATAATAAAAAAATAAAAAAATAAATAAGATGTGGTGAAATTGCATCTCGAATGTATCCCAGAGAAAAATGCCATTTAAAAAATCCCCAGAGAAACCAGAATGAGCTTGACTGTTGTCATACTGTATGATATTCATGAGGTTTGCTCCCGTTAGATGAACAGGAACTCACTCTCCCTCCCCCCGCCATACTGAGTGACTCTTCTTGTTCCCTGCAGTGAAGCCGTTTGGGAGAACATGGCCTGCATGTGTGTGAAGACGCAAAGGCTGGATGTTGCCAAGGTGTGCCTGGGGAACATGGGACATGCTCGAGGAGCCAAGGCTGTACGGGAGGCAGAGCGAGAGCCGGAGAAGGAAGCTCAAGTGGCCATGTTGGCAATCCAGCTGGGCATGCTGGTAGGTTGGATGCCTCTTTGGAGACCCTTAACTACACTTTTTTTGCATCACAATAAGCAGTTTGAATAGCCTTGAATAAGAGGACTCAATTTTGGGGGGGTGGGGGGATCCTCCTTAACAGAAAAATATGTTTTTAGACTCTTCATGTGGGACTGAGGTTGAAAGGTGGCCACTACGCTACCTCAGATGGGAAAGGTGAGGGTCTGCTCAGAGCCACTTGGTGGACAGCAGGTACAGCAAAGCATGTCACTGTTTTCCACCTGCCCATGCTCGTTTTTGCCCTTGACTCTGAAAGTACCACAGAAATGTTGGTCTTTTGGAAGAGAAGCTATACTTGAATGGGTCAAGAATATTCCCTCTAAGCTGCGGAATCTTGTGAGCAAAAATTCTACTTTGTGAGCTACTGGCATTAAAGTTGTGAGTGAGTGATTTGGCTGCTGCATAAATCAGTTTGCTCTGGAGCCCTCCTTCCTGAGCGAAGACAAAAATGTGTGAGCCGGAGGCTAAAAAAAACTGAGCTAGCTCACACTACCTCAGCTTAGAGGGAACACTGAAGTGAACCTTGGCATCCTTCTGTGCACTTGGTGTGTCTGCGCTCTGCCGCTCATCTAAAGGCAGTCATTTTAAACCCTCCACTTGTGTGAACTACCACCTGAGTCCCAAATCTGTGTGGCATTCGTGTCGCATCCTAAGTCCAAGGCCTGCTCTGAGGCGGTGGCATTTCCTGAGCCCTGATACCCTCTTTTCCTAGGAAACAGCAACTAAGATAGCAGGAATTCTTTCAGCTTGTTGAACTGAGCACCACACGGATGCTGCCTCCCTCACAAAGTGACCCGGAGGTCTGATCGCTTGGCGCTTTTTCTTATTTTTATGTAAACATCCTGCCTCTTGGTCATAATGCTTCTATTTCTGGGCTGTGTGGATTCAGTGGGTTCTTCAGATCCTTGTATTGGCCTTTGTGTAGACTGGCATCAAAACACACAAGCCTGTGAAATTAATGTTTCTGAGTATTTTTTTTTGTCAAGCTACAAAATTAGGTGTAATAACCAATGATTGGCACAATATTATTTATTTATTTATTTATTTATTTATTATTTACGTTTCTATCCCGCCCTCCCCGAAGGCTCAGGGCAGCTTACAAGGCATATCGCCGAATAAAACAATAGAACAATACAAAATATTAAAAATACATCACAATGAACAGTTTTGGTGCTCCTCTGAACCCCTTCCAAGTTAAGATTCCTAAAAGCAAGATGGCCGTCCCCTAAAACGTCCCATTCTCATCCAAGATGCCCGCATCATGATGGCCATATACAGAAATCATGTGGCGTTGGTGGTACAATGGTGGCGGCGGCTCCTATTCAAAAGCGTGGCGGAAGAGCTCCGTCTTGCAGGCTCTGCAGAACTGTGCTAGGTCCCGCAGAGCCCTGATCTCCTCTGGGAGCTCATTTCACCAGATAGGAGCCGCCACCGAAAACGCCCTATTCCTGGTCATGATGAGTTTGATGGACCGGGGACCTGGCACGTCCAGTAGATTTTGATTCCCCGACCGAAGTGCTCTTGGGGGAACATGTGGGGAAAGGCAGTCCCTTAAGTAGGCTGGTCCCTTAAGTAGGCTGGTCCCTGGCCATATAGGGCTTTTTTGTTACGAGGGCCCGATCTGACATAAATGTCATTTTGTCAGGCTGGGCCATGTGTGCCATAAAATGTAATGCCAGGTATTAGAGATATAAACTTTGTAAGGACACAGGCAAACCCAATTAACGATATTATTTTTTATTCAAAATACAAACAAAAAACAATTGATTCCTAGCAGTGAAAGCAATTGATTTACTGGGGAGCCCACAAAAGCTCCAATAAATGTATTTAATCATATGCAAGACTAGATTTTTTCCAAGAATCATGGAAAAGTGAACAAAAATAGTATACATAGTCATAGAAAAATATATTGACGGGGATCTCCGGAATGTCTTGCCGTTTCGAAGGAAGATCTTCTTCTGAACAAAGATGTAGGACAAAAATTGTCTCTCAGTCATTCATATCCTCTGGTGACGTCTCACAGTTATCAAAGAAGATTTTCAATGTTCATAACAGCTGTAATGTATAGTAGAACCTGCCATGGGCTAAGATGATTGTAAAGTATGGTGTCAGATAGATGTTTCTAGCTTCCCAGGAAATGAGAGGGCACAATTTGAGCAAAAAAAGCCATTGTGCTGGCTCTGCAGAGGAGGGATGCCCCCTTGGTTCCTGGGAAGCTAGAAGTTTCTATCTGCAGCCTGCCTGCACATGTACAGTCCCAGTGTGTGCCTGCACAGAAGACGTGTTGATGAACAACACTCACAGGTAAGTGCATCCCAAATCATAGAATCACAGAGTTGGAAGGGAGCTCCAGGTTCATCTAGTCCAACTCCCTGTACAATGCAGGAAATTCAAAAAATACCTCCCCTCCACACACACCTAGAGACCCCTGCTCCATGCCCAGAAGATGGCAAAAACCTCCAGGATCACTGGCCAAACTGGCCTGGAGAAAAATTGCTGCCTGACCCCAAAGTGGCAATCTTCATTTCCCTGGGCGTGTAAGAAAGGGCCACGAGAACTAAGCACTGATGCAACCCTTCCTGCCCTCCTTCTCATGATCTGCTAAATTTACAGAATCAGCAATGCTGTCAGATGGCCATCTGGCCTCTGTTTTTTTCTTCCAGACAAGCTACAGTAATTTTTTAAAGGTTGAAAATGATAGTATTGTTAATTCTATGCAGTTTGGAGTTTTAACTACAGAACGATGAATACTTTCTGGATGTTTATCTTGATCTTGTGTAATAGACACACAAGACGTATTGGTTTCCTGTTCATCTCCCCCCACCCCTGAAAAATAAAATTTCCATGCAAAACCTGCATGTTAAGAAAGAAAAAGAGAAGCACAATTCACACAGCACACATTCACTCAGTTGTCTGATGTTCATTCTAGGAAGAAGCAGAGCAACTGTACAAGCAGTGCAAGCGCTATGACCTCCTGAACAAGTTCTACCAGGCCTCAGACCAGTGGCAGAAAGCCATAGAAGCGGCTGAAGTGCATGACCGAGTCCACCTGCGCACCACCTACTACAATTACGCTAAGCACTTGGAGGCCACAGGCAAGCACACTCTGGCACTCAACTAGTAAGTGGGAATCCTGCCCCAGTCCTGTGACCATCAGCATATGACTGTTCTTGTGCTGGGCCGAGCTCACTGGCACTCTGTGGCCTCTCTGGGACTTTGGCCTTGGCTGCTCGGCAGCCATCCTTTCTGGCTAATGCCCACATTAAAGCCCTCCCACTCCCACTGCTGCAGGAAGTGGTAGAGGCTACAAGCGTAGACAGCTTCAAGAGGGGACTGGATAAACATATGGAGCAGAGGTCCATCCATCAGTGGCTTAGATGGGACACTGTCTGGGGCAGTGATGCTCTGTATTCTTGGTGCTTGGGGGGCCACAGTGGGAGGGCTTCTGGAGTTCTGGCCCTACTGGTGGATGTCCTGGGTTTTGGCTACTGTGTGACACAGAGTGTTGGACTGGACGGGACACTGGCCTGATCCAGCATGGCTTCTCTTACGTTCTTATGCACTGCTTGCTTTCGGTATTGGCTGTGGATGTCTATGCAAGTATGACTGTGTGTAGCCTCACCACTGTCATCCTGCCCTCGTGTCGTGTGTGTGTTCCCCCCCGCCCCAGTAACTCGTACCAAGACCTCTGTGTGCATCTTCGCCAAGCTGGGCTTTGCTATGATAGTCCCTTGGCCCTTTTAGTTGCATTGGGGCAACACCTTGACTTGCTGTACTGCTCTGTAGCCTGTTACAGCCTGATCCTGTCCATTTTGGACAATGCATGCAGGCCCTGTTATCGCCACATGGGACCTTTAGGAAAATGCTTGGCAGCTTGGTCAGCCCAAAGCAGATGAAAATTAATGGGTTTCCTTCTTTGCACTGGCAGGATAAACTAGATTCCTTGTTACGTGGTAGTTAAAAAGGTGTTGTAATGAATGAACATAGAATCACAGAATCACAGAGTTCGAAGGGGCCATACAGGCCATCTAGTCCAACCCTCCTGCTCAATGCAGGATCAGACTAAGGCATCCCTGACGAGTGTTTGTCCAGCCGCTGCTTAAAGGCTGCCAGTGAGGGGGAGCTCACCCTCGAGGTTTCAGAAGTATACTTCAGAAAGACCCTTAGAAACCTTTGCTTTCAACAATGTAATTCCTCCCTATGTTGTATCTTAGTCAAAAAGGCCAAGAATCAATAGCCACGCTGTGGCAACCCAGAAAAGCACTCTCACATTCAGATATCCTGAGCATGTACACAGGGTACGTGCTCTTAGTATGTCCTTAGTAGTACCGAAACAGAACTGTGGAATTCCATTGGCCAAGACAAAGAGTCAGATGGCTATCGTTAGCTGGTAAAGCTGTAGCGGTCAGTGCCAGCAATCTGTACACATGGTGAGAAGTTAGATGCTGTGCTTGTAAAGCGCTGGGGGAGCATGCCTCCTTTTGCATTTTCTTTAAAAAACCTGTGAGTGCTGTTGCCGTCGTTGCCAGAACTCACTCCTGCTTCAGATATAGGGGGAGGAGAAAAAACTTGCATGGGGTTTATATAGCTAGGCTTGTGTTGGGTTCAGATTTAAGAACATAAGAGATGCCAATGTTGGATCAGGCCAAAGGCCCATCCAGTCCAACACTCTGTATCACACAGTGGCCAGAAATACCAGTGCCATCAGGAGGTCCAGCAGTGGGGCCAGGACATTAGAAGCCCTCCCACTGTTGACCCCCCCTAGCACCAAGAAGACAGAGCATCACTTGCCCCAGAGCCCCTATCTATACCTTGTGGCTAAGAGCCACTGATGGACCTCTGCTCCATATGCTTATCTAATTCCCTTTTGAAGCCGTCCATGCTTGTAGCCGCCACCACTTCCTGTGGCAGTGAATTCCATGTGTTAATCACTCTTTGGGTGAAGAAGGACTTCCTTTTATCCGTTCTAACCCGACCGCTCAGCAATTTCATGGAGTGCCCACAAGGAGTTCTTGTCTTGTGAGAAAGGGAGAAAAGTACCTCTTTCTCTACTTGCTCTATCCCATGCATATACTTACAAACCTCAATCATGTCACCTCTAATCCTAGAGCTGATGTTGAACAAAATAAGTTGCCTTTACCTTTTCATTCATGTTTTAATAGTAAAACTACTGCAGATTCTGATTCCTGTACTCTGGTTGCATGATACAAATAGCAGCTACAATTCTCTTTTGAATGGCTATGGGAAAGGTAGCAGAGTGGGAATTTTAAAAAAATGTTGTCCTAAGTTAAAATGACATGATAGAATTGCTTTGGAGACACCCATCGATCGTTAGGGCAGATCTCCCTGCCAAAGCTGTAAGCTCATGCGTGAAAACATAACTTGAGAGAAGGAAAGGTTTTAAGGGTAATGCACTAGGGCTTGTGAGCCCAGTGCAGTATTTAAAAGAAAATAACCTTTGACTGTTGGAAGTCTTCAGAACTCCTTTGGCTTTGCTCTGTATGTTATTGGACTAATCTGCAGCAATAGAAACCTAGTCGTTTTTGCTTTTGGGGGTGTGTTGAGAGCCTTCAGTCAGGAGGGGGGCTAAAGGAAGGAGTGGTGACGCAAACACAGCTCCTATTTATGATTTTTTTTTTTAAATGCACTGAGGCCTACATTTCAAATTAGGCCTGGAAACATACAGGCACCCAGGGCAGTTGTAGTGTTCTTGGTGTAAAACGATCTCACCCCACTAATCCTGGACAAAAGTCTGGCTGTGGCATTTTTCACCGGGCAAATTGTGTTCCATGACCAGCCCTGTATATCTGGATGAAACCCCTTTAGCGTGAAAGAATGTCTGTGGATGGCAAGAGGATGGCCAATGCCATCTCCTTGTAAATTTGGCTTCTCATTGCAACTATCTCGATTCGTGGCTGTTGAAATAGACTTGTATTGTTGTGGGGGGGAACATTTCTCGCGAAAGTGTGGTGTGTCCGTGCTACTGCCGTAGTTCCTGGAGCTGAAAAGTTGAATGAAACTCTCGGGGTTTCTTTCTCCCCCTCAGCTCCTCTTTCTAATGTGTTCTTTTTCTGCGCACAGCTACGAGAAGTCAGATACACACAGGTTTGAGGTACCCCGGATGCTTTCGGAAGATCTCCATGCCTTGGAGTGTTACGTCAACAAGATGAAGGATAAGTAAGCATTGGCTGCTTTCCTGATCGTCTGGAGATGGAGCAGCTGGGTCTGGATGGGACAGAGGGAGGAGCCTGTTTAACAAACGGTTTTATTTATTGACCTGCCTTTCCTCCTCTGATCGCAAGGCAACAAATCAGTTTTCAGGCATCATACCTAGAACATCACTTATTTACCTAAAGCTGACAGAAAGCCTCAGGCTTGCCACTGTTCTGCAGAGAGCACAATCTCCGGTGGCTCTCACAGTGGCATTGGCCATCAATCACATTTTTAGGCCAAGGCTTGGAGGGCCTGTTATCACTTTGGACAGCTAGAGTAGTTTCCCCTCAGACAAAGGATCCCTAGGGTTAATTTGAGTCTTCTGTGGGATCTGTCCAGCACATGACCCCCCCTCTGTGCCCCCCTGCCTGTTTCAGTGTTTGAAAAGGGCGTGGGGGGACGGCAGGAGCCCTTCCTCCCCACCAAGCAGTTAAGTCAAAAAAGAAAAAGGCCTCGCTCTGATCTTTAAAATGACATTGCGGCAGCTGATGTGTAGCTGCAGGCAAAAATAATTAGAATTTGGAAAACCCAGAGACATGTGTTGAATAAACGGATCTTATATTTTGACCTTGAGTAGCAAGATATCAAGTGAGGCTATCAGACGGCTGTATTGGAGTCTCCTGGCAGGATCTTCTTTTCTGACACTTCCCCTCCCTTTAACCACAGATGTCTCTTGACTCCCAATCTCATTGCACAGGCAAACGACAAACTCTTTAGCCATTAAGGATGGGTGCTATAACAAGGCAAGACACTCATACGTGTTCAAAGATATTGGCATAGATAGATATTGGCAGATCGGGGCAGCTGTGTCCTAGTTTGCCTTGTCTTTACTTGTTTGAAACCTGCTCTTGAACATCCCGATGGGGAGGTAGTTCCCCTTGAAATCTCTCTGGACTGAAGTTGCTGCATTTAGAATCACAGATTGGATGAGCTGGATACTGGCCCATGAAACTGGATAGCTGAGAAATGGGACGGGAGTGCTGCTGCAAGGAGTTGGAAATGAATAAACATCTGTGTGTTGTCCCTCTCCAGGACCTTGTGGAAGTGGTGGGCCCAGTACCTGGAGAGCCAGGCAGATATGGAAGCCGCTTTAAAATACTATGAACTGGCTCAGGATTACTTTTCCCTGGTCCGGGTTTACTGTTTCCAGGGTAACATTCAGAAGGTAAAATGGCTTTCCCACACATTTCCCTTCCAGAAGCGGCCATTCTGTGGTCAAACATGTGGCATGGCATAGGTGTTTACGACTTTCTCTCTGTCTCTTGTTTTAGGCAGCAGAAATAGCCAATGAGACAGGGAACTGGGCAGCATCGTATCACCTTGCCCGTCAGTATGAGAGCCAGGATGATATCAAGCAGGCTGTGCACTTTTACACCCGGGCCCAAGCATTTAACAACGCCATTCGCTTGTGCAAGGTATGCAAGTGTGGGAAATGCCGCGCCAATTGAAACCAGACAGTAAAATGGCCAGAACTGAAAAAGCTGCAGAATTGCTAAAACAGACCCAAGCAATAGCATCCAGTGTTAAAGCTGAGTTGTCCCAAAGGAAAACAGTCTGAACAAGACACCAGAAAGTGGGGGTGGGCAAGGCAAACCCCGGCGTTTGTGAGTGTATGTTCCAGTATAACCGTAGTTTTATTTTTTTATTAGAACCTCGATAGCACCAGCAACTATCATCTGCAGGTTAAGGACTGCAGAAAAGGCAGTTTTCTTACAGGGGAGGTACAGACTGAAAGGAATACATTCACATCTTCTGCAGCCCAAGAATGATAAGAATTCTAAGTATTCTTTGGTCTCTCCCCAAACTGGACTTGGTTGTCCAGTCTAGTACTGCAGTCAGCTCAGTTACAATTTTGTATTAATGTTTTAAGCAACAAAACAACCTCTGTTGGTATTTGTGATTTGTTTAAAAAAATTCCTTAAGTTTTTGAAAAGCCTTACAGCAATGGAACAAAACTGTCTTGTAACCAAAGGTTGCTCTTCAGAACCCTGAACAGGTGGACATTAAGGCATTAATCAAAATATTCCTTCATCCACAAAACCTTCAGCTCTTTAGCTAGCTAGCAGTTGGCATTCTTGACTTTTTAACATTGGGTGCTGTGAGTAGAAGGCCCTGGCGAACAGCCATAATTCAGGTATCTCTAAAGGTGCATCTTGGTTTGGGGTGTAGGACAACAACTTGGATGACCAGTTGATGAACCTGGCCCTTCTCAGCTCACCAGAGGACATGGTTGAAGCAGCGCGTTATTATGAAAACCATGTGGAACAGATGGACAGGGCAGTGATGCTCTACCACAAGGTAAGCACTCATCCCTGTGTGGCACAAAGGTTGAGAACCAGGGGCAAGTCCCCAACAGGGCATAGACACAGGCTCCACTTTGCTCTGAAAGGGTCTCTCCCTGTGTTATCCCCCCCCCCATTTTCTCTTCAGAACTGAGCATAGCAGTATTCCACTCTGAAGCAGAAGGGGGCTGTAAAGAAAGCCAGTTGGCTGTGACATCACAAACTGTTCCTCCGTAGGCAGTTTTCACCTTTAGAACTCAACCCAAAAAAGGCAACAGTGCCTGATTTCTAATTTGATTGTTGGAAGGTGTAATTGTGCAAGACGTGCTGTGAACAGCCCACCAAAAGTATGAGAGGAGGAAATTCACTGTGGAGACCAGCTTGTTGTCATTTGAATGGCTAAAACACCCCATACTGAATTCTGGTTTTATGTGCCTCTGAACACACCATGAGGGCCAAAACTAGATATGATGGAGAAATCCATGAGTATTGGTACACCTGAAGAGCTGATGGTTTATTTTTTTACTAAACACATAGTGGACAGGCGAGGAAAACTAAACCCTGTCCTCCACCCCCTGCACCCCCACATTTGAAGCATTTTTTTCTTCCAACTGATGGAATTTGGTGAGGTCAGGCTAGAGGAGGAGGGGCAGAGTTTAGCTTTCTTGGCCGGTACACTAGTTTTATTCAAACCAAAGACCCTCCCTTCCTCTCCGCTTCACATGTGACACTGGAATAAATGCAAATGGATTTCTCTGTCACTTCTAGTTTGGCCCCAGGTCAGAGATGGACCATTGAAGACTTTCCCAGAACTAAAACGAAGGCTATTATTCTATCCCTGTTATGGGAAGCATCATCGTATTCCCCCCTGGGGTCAGTTAGCAGGGTCCTATGTAGTAATAATGTCCCCAAGGAAGCTAAAGCTCTCTTTCTGCTTTGACAGGCAGGACACTTGTCCAAGGCCCTGGAGTTGGCCTTTGCCACCGAGCAGTTTGCCGCCTTGCAGCTCATCGCTGAGGATCTGGATGAGAAGTCAGACCCTGCCCTGCTGGCTCGTTGCTCTGACTTCTTCATTGAGCATGCCCAGTACGAGAAGGCCGTCGAGCTGTTGCTTGCCGCCAAAAAGGTAACTCGTAAAACCCTCTTTCAGAAAGAATCTTGTTCCCCTAGTCTAGTTTTCTCAATCACCAAATTGTATGCCTTTCACGGGACTTCTGCCTCAGGTGGGTCAAGGTGCTTTTAGTAAGACTTTTGTTCAAACTCTGCAATGTTTAGAGGAGCAAGACGTATTTGCAGTGTGCCAAATGGCGAGTGAGTGCCGCTCAGTGATCTCATGAATCTTAAGTCCCACCTAGACCTTTTGCATTCTTCCAAATCTGCTGTTCCTGCAGAGGAAGGTGCAATTGGATGGTACCCCTCAGTATCCAGTGGAGGAGGAAATCTACACACAATGTGCAGACTTGTCCTTTCTCAGACAGGAAAGCAGGCTCTTGTTGGGTATAGCTTAAGTCCCTCATTCCTCACCTTTTTCGTTCCACAGCTGAACCTAGGAAATGGTCTGGGCACTCTGAACATCACACTCTTCAGTTTTGGGGGGTGGAAAGCACTCCTACTTAAAGTGCTCTCATTTTGGGGCTTGGGCTCAGCAGGTGATGTGTACTCAGCTTCTAGTTATTCCCCCTCCCCGAGTGCTTTTGGCTGGTGGGAGCCCGTTTTGTTTCTGTTCTCCTCTCTCTCTGCTGCAGTACTGGGACGCCCTGCAGCTTTGCTTGACTCAGAATTTGACCATCACTGAGGAGATGGCTGAGAAAATGACAATCTCAAAGGACTCCACCGAGCTTTCGGAGGAGTCCCGGCGGGAGCTCCTGGAGCAGATAGCTGATTGCTGCATGCGGCAGGGCAATTACCACATGGCCACCAAGAAGTACACGCAAGCAGGAAACAAGCTGAAGGTGAGCATGCTTGGGGGGGGGGGAGCCTTGCAGTTGTTTCTCGATAGGATGAGGGGATGAAATGCTCATAACCCATTCATGGTGGATCTCCTAAGGAGCATATGGGAAGTCTGACTGGGATGGACAAGGATGCCATTTTTATATACTGCAGCCTGGGAGTTCATCCAGCCCTTCTCACCAGTGGTGTCCTCATCAGCAATGTCCAGATGTTGGTAACGTCATGTCTAGATTATCATAATGGATTTTCCTTGGGGCTGCCTTTGAAAATGGCTCAGCTTTTACAGCTGGTGCCGAATACTGCTTCCCATCACATTACAGGAGTGAGGGATGAAGAACACAGTTCTTACTTTTCTGCACTGACCACATACAACAAAAGTTATCCAGTATCACTTTACGAGCTACAAACAGCCCCTGGGTGCCCTGCATTCTGATGGTCTCCAGACTCTATAGAGTTTAGACCTGGAGAGTGTTTTGTGGGAAGATAACTCAGCAGTGCACAGAATTCCACCAAGTCTTTATATATTTACAATACTGGAGTGATTATCTCTCCTTATATATAATTCCATTTTCGAGCAGCAATGTTCCATGCGTTCCCAAATCAGTTGGGTGCCTGATCTGTCACTCGGAAGGTCTGCCAATCCCCTGGCTGCATTGCCTCAGTCCCGCCGGCCAGTGTCTCGCCCTCAGTCGGCGAACAGGAAGGATGCTCCGCCAGGCGGAGGCCTAGGAGGCCAAACATGGCGGCGCCGCACTGGTTGTCGGCCACCCTTAAAGAAGCTCTGGAGACATTCCAGGTATTTTCCCAAGGCTGACCAGAGAAGCCTTCAAATAAAAAACCCCAGATGCTTATCCCCCCCCCCAAAAAAGCAGACTGAATCCGGCCTCCCCCACACCGCACTCTCACTTTGAGACTTTCAAGCCTGCCCCCACTGCACGAGCTCTCCAGTCTCTTGCCTGTCAATCTCCGGGTAGTCGACCCACGCCCAGCACCCCCCATGCCAACCAGGAGGCACCCTCACAGCAGAGCCCTGAAAGTAAGCCTACCTCCTCCACCAACTGGCTGCCGCTGCTTGAGGATACTCGCCCTCCCATCGCCTCATATGGGAAGGGCAGCGGGGGGGGGCATGGAGATCTGCCTCTGTCACCAGTCAGGTGACTTCCCCGGCCCACCGAAGCACCTGAGCCACAGGAGGCTCACAGCGGGTGGAGTCATCATCATGGTTCCACCTACCTTGACGTCGCCAGCGGTTGCCTGTGCAGAGAGAGAGGTGACGGTCACGCGCCCGTCTCAATGCACTACCCAAGCAGCAGGCGCCGTCGGCGCTAGGCAAAATCTGCAAGATGAGGTGCATGAGCTGCTTCTTTTCTTGCGCTCTGCATGGGTGGCGGGGAAGGGGCTCATCGCCGTCCTTGTAGTGGATCAGCCCAAGCTAAGCGCTGACCGGCTGCTTGGTCATGCGGGGAGGGAGGGGGAGTTTGGCGGCTTTCACACCGGTAGCTTCGACCACGCTTCAGGGTAGTACAGGTGGTTGCAGGTGGCAGGGTTGGCTGCAAGTGGACGAGGACTGGCGCTATAGACAACAAGGCGGCGGGCCAGACCAAGATCTTGCTAGCGTTCGTTGTATTTCTTTTACAATGGGCTTTGCTACTAGTAAGAATATATGTTTTATTCTACTGGTCCATGACTGTAATAAATTGATTAAAAGCAAATCTTCCTTGCCTTCCTCTGCACAGATCATTGTTTGCAGTTGCCTGTAATAGTTGATAGCATTAGGTCTGTCCCTTTTGTTGCAGGCAATGAGAGCACTTCTGAAATCAGGAGACACAGAGAAGATTGTGTTCTTTGCCGGAGTTTCCAGGCAGAGAGAAATATACATCATGGCTGCCAACTATCTCCAGTCCCTAGACTGGCGCAAGGACCCTGAGATTATGAAGAACATCATCAGCTTCTATACCAAAGGACGGGCTCTTGACCTCTTGGCTGGTTTTTACGACGCCTGTGCTCAGGTGTGTGGGTTCTCTCTGGAGTCAGAGTGTTGGGTTTACACACATGAGATTGGACACTCAAGACTGGCTCTGTTCCCTCCAGGTGGAAGTGGACGAGTACCAAAATTATGAGAAGGCGCTGGGGGCCCTGACTGAAGCCTATAAGTGCCTGTCAAAAGCCAAGACGCGGAGCCCTGTAGAGCAAGAGAACAAACTGACCCTTTTACAGAGCAAGATGGCACTGGTGAAGAGATTCATTCAAGCACGGAGGTGAGAGGAAATAGTAAGGGGGGGGCTGGGTGATCTATCTGCTTCATTAGCAGCAACTCAGATTCCTCTTGTGAAGAGAAACAGCACATCAGAGTCAGCATGAGACTTTGCAAACCCCCCCATCAGCATTCTACTGCCTATTCTTTGCAGATGCTTTGTTTTCCAAGACTCTTTTCTCAGAAGTCCCCTATTATTGTAGAAGAAGAAGAGATTGGATTCACACCCCGCCCTTCACTACCCAAAGGTGTCTCAGAGCGGCTTACAAAATCCTTTCCCTTCCCCTCCCCACAACAGACACCCCGTGAGGTAGGTGGGGCTGAGAGAGCTCTTGACAGAAACGGCTTTTTCAAGGACAGCTCTTATCAGAACTACGGCTTGCCCAAGGTCAACCAGCCAGGTGCAAGTGGAGGAGTGGGGAATCAAACCCGGTTCTCCCAGATTAGAGTCTCCCAGATTAGAGCGGCACTTAACCACTGCACCAAACCATAAAGTAGGAAGATGTCTGGCAAGCGTTTGCTGATAGCTTGGAAAATGGCCTTGCTGAGCAGGGCTAGGATGACCTGCGTCCTCTGTAGCTTAGGGGGCCTTGCATTCTCCCAGGATTCAGAAAGAGCATTCCGCACAATTTTACGGGACCCAGAGGGGTAGGTTAAGAGTGGGGGAGGAAACAGGCCTCCCCCCCTCAGCCCATCTTGTGCTGCTCTTTTATTTATCACCACCCACATTGCTAAGGGCTCAGCAGCACACCAGCTTTCAAATGGTATACTGGGAACCTTGGGTGACCTAGCTGAGGCAGCCGGTGACTGTCAAAACTACCTAAAGGATGCGGTCTCCTGAAATGGACAGCTGCAGGGTTGGTTTCTTTTACACGGTGAAACCTGGCTGCCCCTATGTGAACTGAGAAGGGGCCCTAGAAAATGGCCCCAGTTCCTGTTTGGCATACAGGGATTCCCACCAAACAAATATGGAAGGAGTCCCCCCCTCCCCCCAAGATTTGCTTGTCTGAAAAGGGCGGAGGGGCCTCCTGAGCGGCACGAGCATTGGAAGCTATTCTGCATGGCAGTTCCCTTCTGCTGTGTTTTGTGTTGCACGCTCTCTTACGGCCGAATTGCTGTGTTGACAAGGAGTACTGCGAAGCACAGCTTCACTTTGTGACTAACACTTGGAATATATATGTAGGGTGTAGATACGACACAAGGTGTGTGTTGAAATGGAACTGAAACAGTGCTGACTCGTGATGTGTCCCCCTTCATAGGCTTTACTCAGAAGATGCCAAGGAGGCAGCCAGGCAGTGTGAGCTGCTCTTGAGCGAGCCAGACCTGGATGGAGCTGTCCGCTCCGGGGATGTCCTGGCCTTCCTCGTGGAGCATCACCTGCAGGCCCAGGAATTCCAGATGGTGAGTTGAGACAGATATACGGAGCAATTAACTTCTTGGCTGCAAAAGATGTCCTCGAATCCAAAGGGTCAGGAGAGTACACGGAACAGTCCTGCTTGAGATTGTACGAGCATGTATGTTGGGGGCGGGGGGCTGCTGTCGCACAGTCAAATGCTCCCCAGTGCCAATGTTCCCTCTAAGCTGTTGAGTCCTGTGAGCAAAAATCCTACTTTGTGAGCTACTGGCATTAAAGTTGTGAGCCAGCGATTTGGTTACAGCATAAATGAGTTTGCTCTGGGGCCATCCTTCCTGAGCGAAGACAAAAATGTGTGAGCCAGGGGCTAAGAAACTGCATTCCAGATGGTGAGTTGAGACAGATATAGAGCAATTAACCTCTTGGCTGCAAAAGATATCCTTGACTCCCAAGGGTCAGGAGAGTACACGGAACAGCCCTGCTTGAGATTGTACGACCATGTATGTTGGGGGCGGGGGCTGCTGTCGCACAATCAAATGCTCCCCAGTGTCAATGTTCCCTCTAAGCTGTGGAGTCCTGTGAGCAAAAATCCTACTTTGTGAGCTACTGGCATTAAAGTTGTGAGCCAGCGATTTGGTTACAGCATAAATGAGTTTGCTCTGGGGCCATCCTTCCTGAGCGAAGACAAAAATGTGTGAGCCAGGGGCTAAGAAACTGTGAGCTAGCTCACACTAACTCAGCTTAGAGGGGACACTGCTCCCCACATGTCAGAACATGCCTGCCCCTGAAAAACTAGTACATCATGGGGAAGCTTCATTACCAATAGGCTCATTTTCTACTTGTGGGGGACAGCAAAGGGTTGAACGTTCAGTCTCTCATCTGCATCATGACTTCTTTCTAAAATGTGTATTTTTCTGTATATGGAAGCACAAGTGAAAAAAAGTCTCAGCCGATCTGCCCTCAGTGAGCTTATATAGTTCAACTGTGGGATTTGCCATCGACGGGATGATTATTGACTGGGTGACAACATGGTCCGGGAATACTGATCCAGAGTGTCCCGGAGCCTTTTAGCAGCCAGCCACCTGTTGGTAACGATGGCAGGTGGGGGTTGCGGGAGGGCTCCGACAAAGCAGGGGAAGCCGTTTATGTTGAGCCACCTGGAGTTGAGATGATTCACTGGCTCAGAGCAGGAAGCGTCAAGCAGCCTGGAGTGAAACAGAGAAGACCGAGCTTTGCAGGGCCTGGGCAAAAAAAAGAACAAGAAAAAAAAAAAGAATGGCTGTTCTGGACGCACCAGGTGCTCTCTCTCTCCAGTCAGATGGAGTTCAAGCAAAGGGGAGCCTGCAGCTATTTGGAAAACTCTTAGCCATATGAGAATTTTTCTCCCGAGTCCATCATAAGCCACAAAACTGTGGGGGTGGCTCCCGCACCGCAGGGATTCTGGACTGTGGTGACCTTGGCAGTATCAAAACATTCCCCACCAATGCAAAGAAGCTTGGCCATGACATGCTGTTTTCTCCACAGGCCTACCGTTACCTCGAAGAGATGCGGGGGAAAATTCCCTGCGTGAATCTGAATTACTACGTGAGCCAACAGACCGTCGAGGCAGTTCACAGAGGACTGGGCATCCCCCTGAGCCGGAACCATGCCCCCGAGAGGATTCGCCACAACAGCATGGAGGACAAGGGCGCGGAAGACGAAGTGACGGATGAAGCGGATTTTTCCTAAGGAGCAGGATGTAGCTTCAAACAATCGTTTTGTAGGGGGGAAAGTTTAATTTTCTGCCTGAATGTAGATTTAAAGTGTTATTTTGAGAAATGCTAGTACCTGAGTCATTCAGTACATTGCAAGACAGGCTGCCTTAAGAGTCCACTTAAATTAGTTCAGTGGAACTTATACCACTTTGAGCGTGAAGGCTGGGAGAGTAGCCCCCCCCCCACCTGCCCGGCCCCACAGCCACAGTGTTACAGCATTATAACAGCATATCAGAGTATCTGCATTGCCAGCTTTCATTAAAAAAAGCAAACTTCCAGCCCTGTTCATTGCAAAGAGATGCCGTCTGCAATAAAGGGACAGATACTTTTTTAAAAATCAAAGCTAAGATTCAGAAGAACTAGTTGGTAGATCATTATGCTGTTCTAATGCTCTGACTGTCAACGGTCAATTCCAAAAGGGGGAGAATGACTGCCGCAGGGGCGGCGGGGCAGGGAAAACGCGGGCAAATGCCTTGTGGAAGTCCCAGTGGAAGTCCCGTGGCTGCTATGCTGAGCTGGCAGATGAAGCGGCCAGAGGGAAACGGCACAAGCCCATCCCCATGTGGGAAAACACCTCTGTCATCGAGCCGTCTTCACTCGAAAGGAACCGTTTCCAGTTTCTTTTTCAAATTTTCCATCAGGAGCAGATTCTGCAGCGCCAGACTCCTGCAGTTGCCATCCGGGTCCCTCTCTGCCACATCTGCAAAACATAGGAAGAGTCACACAAGAGGAGGGGGGGAAATGGCTCGAGGAAATCCCTGCAAAGCATTAGTTGAGCTGTCCAGTGTGCTTTAGGAAAGGAACAATCAAAGGAAGCCCTCCCCCTCCCCCCCTCCAAATATCCAACTTGTTTGACTTCAGACCAACCTTTATTTAGCAACATTTCTTTTACATGGCATTGCTTCAGCATAGCCAAAGCACGTGAACCTTAAGGAGCAGATAAGATATTACTGTGGTTTAGAAAACTCCGTTTGGTGAGAGGGTTGGTTTGTTTACTTATAGAGATGTTCATCATAGCCTGGGGCTCAAGGCAGCCAACAGTTCCCAAACGAAGACAACATACAATAAAAGTTCATTAACACCTCTCCCAAAGAAAAGACCCATAGCTCAAGCCCCATTAAAAGCCCCTGGGACAACTCTAAAACTCCTAAAGATGCCGCCCCTTCCACACTGTGGGAGCCACTGCTGAAAAGGAAGGGCTCCGCTAGATGCCAGGCACGCCGCCTTAAGCACAAGAGCAGGAGCAGCCGGCAGCCAGAAGACCGCAGTTGGTAAACAGGGAGATGGGGAGAGACACTTCTTTGGATATAAAACAAGACTCCAGTAGCTTTTTGAAGACTGACAAAATTTATCCCAGCATCTGCTTTCATGAGTTAGCACTCGCTTCATTAGATGTACTGGAAGCATACATAACAAAACATTGGCCCCGGTCACACGGGCAGGAAAATGCGGGGGGGAGAGGGGAAGCGTGGCTGTTTGCCCCGGAGCAAAATAACACGCGGTTGCGCGATCAGAGGTCCCGTGGTTAGGGGGGACGTGCCGATCACAGGACAATCCTGCGGCGCGGCAAAGAAGCGGCCTCTCTAGCAAAAGGCTCTGCGGGTTTAACCCCTTCCAGGGCTGCAGAGGAATGCAAACTGTGTCCTCCATCAGGTCCCCTCCAGGAGGAGCTTCAGTCGGGCTGCCCTCCCGCCACACACACCCTACGCCGCCTGGTGCAGAGAGTTCCTCTCGAGCAGGCCGAGCCAGGAGGGGGGGGGTACGGAAAAGAGGAGGGGGCTTTGTTTGTTTTTAAACGAAGTATGCGTGTGCGCATCCCATGGAGACTTGGGAAAAAAACACCTTTTAGCGACGGGACATGGGCGGCCGCCGGATGCCACGACCTACCACCAGAAACGTGATCAGGCGCCTGCCCTTGCCCTGCGGTTTCCGGAAACTAGTACCTCGGAGGTACTAGATTTTTACCCCGCATCTTCGGCGGGAAGCCTCGGGTTCGCCACAGGAGCTCTACGCTTCCCAGATGTGGCACTGTGATCGCGCCCGGAAAATCCGCCTATCTTCCGTCTCTGTAGCGAGGCTAATGCTCCGTGTGACCGCAGCCATTATATATCTCATCCTTTGGGGGTGGAGTTACTGCTTGACCTCTCTCAGAGAGAGCTACTGGCTGTGGTACACAGCAGATCCATGGCACATTCAGTCGGCTTGCTATTTTTTTCTTTTTACAAGGTCCCAGTGCTTCGACCCTCCGTATGGCAAGGGGAAATACTGCAAAACTGAAGCTTTCCCCAGCAGGCCACAGCAGTGCGGGAGTGAGACTCGGCTGCTGGATTTCAGTTTATCAGGCAGCCGTTACCAAGAGGAATGAAAGAGGCTCCTCCCGACTGACTCGCAAAGTGGAAACCAGGATGTGGTGGGGGGGGGAAGAGTCTGAAAGAGTGGCGAGTCCGTGGGAGGATATCCTGTGCGCACATGCAGAGCGTTCAAAGCCCAGCACTAGGTCAGGCTGGGTCCATGAGTCACTCCGATGGAGTGGGGCTATTTATAAAACAAGAGAAGAGTTTCAGAATTGGGCTCCAGTTCTCAGCAGTGATACTCAGCAGCCCCCTCCCCACAAAACCTGGAGAGACAGGGCGTCATCACCAGTGTTCCCTCTAAGCTGAGTTAGTGTGAGCTAGCTCACAGTTTTTTAGCCTCCGGCTCACACATTTTTGTCTCAGCTCAGGAAGGATGGCTCCAGAGCAAACTAATCTATGCTGCAGCCAAATCGCTCGCTCACAACTTTAATGCCAGTGTTCTCAGCAGTGATACTCAGCAGCCCCCTCCCCACAAAACCTGGAGCGTCATCATCACCCTGAAGAAATAACAGGAGTGCCAAGCCTGTGGCTGTTCTGTAGGGCTAGAGAAGGTTCTCAGGCCCCCTTCTGGCCTATAAATACTGTGGGCACAAAGTGGATGTCGTAAAACCCACAAAATTACTTTGACAAAGTAAGGCAGTTTTTTTTTCAACAAGAGCCCACGGCTGTCACAAAGTTTCTAGCCACCACGGAGGCTGTGAAGAGATGCATTTTTCCTTTGGAGGTTTGGAATGAGCAAAACCTTTGCTCTGAGTTTTAAAAGGTTCCCCCCCCCCCCTCTGCGCAGAGAACAGGCAGGAGGAGGAGGAAGTCAGTCAATGGCTTTCCAGGCTTAACCTCTGCCCACTTTCATACAAATGCTACTAGATCTAGCAGGAGAGATAATGGGTTCCCTTCTCCTAGCAGGGAACAGAAATGTGGAGAACTTTAGACTAGAAAGGCTCCAAGAGTAATCTTCAGGAAGGAAATTTCTGGAGACTTCCAGAAAAGCTTCTCTGAACTGGCCTGACTGGGTCAGTGGGAGGGGAAAAGAGAAGTGATAAAACTCAGAGGAGCAAGGAGGACGCTCTGTTTTGGTGCTGGGTCCACCAGGGCAGACAGTACTCTTAGCTGAGGTCTGGAGGAGCCGGCCACTGACCATGTGCTGGCCCAGAGAGCTACAGAAAGCTTCAAGGTAAGGGCTCTCTGTAGACATCTGTAACTTCCTAAACTTTAGGAGCCTGTCCTATTTTAACACCTATTTAAGCATGCACAGAGAGAGGGACAGAGGATTTGTGTCTTACCCATTTCTTTTTAATTCCTTGCTCAATCTGGTACTGTGCTAAAAGTAGGCTTGTGAACATTTTCTTTTTTAATAAATACCTTAGGTTTTGATGCTGGTTGTGGTCTCGAACACTTTTAAAAGGAGTGCCAGGGGAAGGCAGGCACATGGCAAATGGCTGTTCCTCCAAGGACACACAAGGCAGTAAACAGTCTCTGTGGTGACCAGGTGCTGGGCCGCTGCAAGGCCTCAGAACTGGGAAGGGAAGCTGGGAGTCCCGATCATCCCGGTGGGCAATTCCCACAAAGGTCAGGGCTACCTGAGAGAGAAAGAGAAGCCTCTCCAGGTGTTGGCAAAACCTTGGAGGACAGGGCAGAATCATTCCAGAGCAGGCCTGTTCGGCCACAGTGGCAAAGACATTTAAGACTGGTTTTCAAATGGGGGCAGACTTCCAATGGTCGGATTTTTGCCCACTACCAATTTTATAAACTTTCATCGTTTCACTTTCCAGTCATGCCCACAAGGATTTTTGCACTGGTTGCTGCAACCTTCTCTGCCCCTTTTCGTACTGTTGCAGAGAGCATTCAGCTGCCGCTCCTTGGAGGACAGGCTCATCATGGTGCAAAGCTGCTGCTGAGTGACCCTTGAGTGCAGGAGTAAAGGAGTAGGGAAAAGCCCGTGTTGCCAGTTGTACCAAGTCACGGGGAAACGGGACTCTGTGATGCACACGGCAGCACTTTTCCCTTTTAAGGGTATGATTTCCAGTGCAGGGATCAGAGGCCAGCTGCCTCGCTGTCATTTCCTCTCCACCCCCTGCGGGAAGCCGGTTCTCACTATCGGGATGGTGAGGGAAACCAACACAGAGGAGAAGGGCAGGGCTGCAGGGCTGCTTCTGTCCCCCAGTTCTCAGCCACTTGCTTCTTTAGCCCTGAGATGCGAACAGTGGCCTCATCTCTAGAGCCTTCCAGAACACACACTGGCCAGACCCTGAAAGCTGGCCATTTCCTCATCTGCCTCAGGATCGGGGGGAAGCCCAGCTGAATTCATCAACTCCAGCTTCCAGAGCACACACTGGCCAGACCCTGAAGGCTGGCCATTTCCTCATCTGCCTCAGGATGGGGGGGAAGCCCAGCTGAATCCATCAACTCCAGCCATTCACTTCCCCAAGAAAGCAGCACTTCTTTCCCCCTTACTCAGCTCCTGCAACACCTTCTCACCTGCCAGCCAGGCCTGAGTCTCCAGTAGTTCCTCTGACAAGTCTTCCAGAAGGTGTTCGGCAGGGATGCTGAGAAGTGTAGAAGAAACCGAAGACAGAAGGCCCTGGCGCACATAGCTGCATGGAAAAGAGACACGCTGGTAAGCCTCTGCAGTTCGGAGGCCCTTTCCCTCCCAGTTGAGAGCCCCGTGGCCCTGGAGCCCATGGGGAGAGAGGGTAGATGTTTCTTAACTCTTCTGCCTCATGCATGCATGCGCAGTTCTGCTTGTTTGGTTTCGCTCCTTGAGTCACCAAAGTTGCTCCAGCTAAACTTATTCCTCGGATTCCCACCTAGGTCTATGCTGAGCCCCGATGCAAAGACATCTGTATCCCACTGGAAGGAGCCAGAAAAATAAAAGCTACCAAAAATGGCCACAGGGGCATCTTTATGATGGGTTGCTTCAGGATGGGGCTCGAATCCCTGCATCAACCTAGCGGATGGATGCTCCGGTGCATCTGAGGAAGTGAGCTCTGGCTCACAAGAGACTTATGCTTGGAATCAATCTGGTTAAGTCTGTAAAGATGGTCCTCGACGCCCGGTGTCATTTTGCTGCTATGGACCAACGCAGCTGCCCATTTCAATCTGAATCCGGACAGAAACTCACGCATCTGTGTGAAAGCGAAGGGTCCAAACGAATTCAAGCAGTGCCTTTCCCATCACAGCTGCTACCTGGGGAGAGGAGGGAGGAAAAACCAGTAATGATTGCTAGGGAGGGATACATTAAATGGACATCCTTGGACACAGCGAAGCTGAGACTTCGGTTTCACAAGGAAAGAAAAACAATGTAGAGAATTTTGTTTTGGTACCAGAGGCAACCTTCCCCCAAGGGTAGTTAAAAATAGAATAAAAGAAATAACATACAATGTGCAGTCTTTTTATGGTGCTCCAAAACACCATAAAAAGCTGCAGTGGCTCAGGTGGTTAAGACGCTGAACTGCAGGCTGTGGAAGGTCGGTAGTTCAGCAGTTTGAGACCCGGGTGCCGCATGACGGAGTGAGCTCCCGTCTCTAGTTCCCGCTCCTGCCAACCTAGCAGTTCGAAAGCAAGAAATTGCAAGTAGATAAATAGGGACCGCTTCGGTGGGAAGGTAACAACGTTCCGTGCGCCTTGGTGTTTAGTCATGCCGGCCACATGACCACGGAAACGTCTTCGGACAGCGCTGGCTCTTTGGCTTTGAAACGGAGATGAGCACCGCACCCCTAGAGTCGGATTCGACTGGCTTTTCGAGCAAGGGGACCTTTATCTTTACCTAAAACACCACCACCTCAAGCTAGGATATTTCCTGTTGCCTGATGGTAAAAATAAGAACCCTCATCTCTAGAGGTTGTTGGCATGCCTGTAGTGACCTGAAAAGGGTGTCTGGGTGAGAACACAGTCGCCGAAAACAGCGTGAAGAGTGTGAGTTTTGTTCAACGTCAATTGCAAGAGGTCCCATTCAGACCCTTGACGGTCTCTCTTTTATGCAGGAGATGCCCCCATTTGTAGGATTTCCCCTGCAATGGTGAAAGCTAGGAGTCCGCTGGAATAACTGAAGAAGTCACGCTATCTGCCAAAGCCAGATGTACTCCCAAAAGGAAAGACACTAGCTGCTCCACCCTCACGGGTAGGGGTAAAGGCGTAAGATACACTACAGGATTCTTATCCTTCCTGATTGGACAGCATGCTGCTCTGTTTCAGATACTCCTTTGAAAGCTTCATTTCTCACCGCTGCGTTGACAGCAAAGTACATCACGATGGCCAGTGTGTGCGCCAGCCGGCCGAGCACCATGTGATCGTCACCGAGGAGGTCAAAGGTGGCCAGAGACCTGGGAAAGGAACACGAGAGAAATTCTGAGTGTCTTCTGCAGTGATCACAGACTAGAACGCTCGATTTCTTTTTGTTTAGTACAGCAAAGGAATGGAGCGAGTCAGAAGCTCGGCGGCTGGTCCAGCCCGGGCAGGCTAACTCCAGCAGGATGCGGAAGCTGCAGGTTCGACATCTGTGCCAATGATCAGCAAGTCCTTTGAAGCAGAGCAGCTAGAGGTGTTCGCGGTCTTTACCTGTCAAAGTTCTGAAGAAGCGGGAAGAAGAAATGGCCAGCAACGGGGCCAAACTTGTTGGGAGTGCACGGCAGCTCTGCTCGAGATGGGCCCTGTTCCAAAAAAAACAGACGGGTTAGCAGCTGGCAGCATTTTGCTAAGATGCCACCGTTACAGGAAGAGGCTGAATGTTCTGTTCCACTCTTCCAAAGCCAACTGAAGGTTTGAGAGCCAGTTTGGTGTAGTGGTTAAGTGTGCGGACTCTAATCTGGGAGAACCGGGTTTGATTCCCCACTCCTCTACCTGCACCTGCTGATGTGACCTTGGGTCAGTCACAAGCTCTGGCACAGCTGTTCCTGAAAGAGCAGTTTGTGTCAGAGCTCTCTCAGCCCCACCCACCTCACAGGGTGTCTGTTGTGGGGAGGGGAAGGGAAAGGAGTTTGTAAGCCGCTCTGAGACTCCAAGTGAAGGGCGGGGCGTAAATCCAATCTCCTCTTCTTCTAACTCATGTCACATGTTCTGCTCTAACACAGCCGGTTTGGGCTGCATCACCACAAGCATAGCATTTGGGCTGGTTTTACACTGAACCTGTCAGTTTGGTCCCCACTGTCCTGTGATCTGGCCTCGTCCATAGAACCCTGCTGCACAAACCAACTTCTATAACTGACTGGAGGCGAGAAGGGCAGGCTGGAGAGAAGTAGGGAAGAAAACGCACAATTTTTCTGTGGGAGGCGGGAACTGAAGAGCATGGTTTCCTCAATAGTGCAGGAAGGCAGGTGAGCACTACAAAATGTGGGTGAACAACACCATTAAGCACAATCACAACATTATGCGATTGTACAGGGGTACTGTGTTTAACTTGCATTGTTGTCTTGCAGCATGAGTGCTAGAGGCATGTAGCGTTGGTGAGGCCCGGAAGGAAGATATCTGTGTTCCTCGTACGTTTACTGTTGACGTTTGTAAGCCACTCTGAGACTCCAAGTGAAGGGCAGGGTATAAATCCAATCTCTTCTTCTTCTCTTCTTCTTCTTCCTTTCCTTGCCAGGCACTGTCCCAAATTTACGTGCTACCTGTTTCCCATGGTATGAAAAATCCAGCGCTTGATAAGCCAAGCTGGAAGACCATTCCTGCCAAAAAAAAAAACCTTGCTCCCATGATTTCTGCTCCTGCCTCTCCTCTCGCTTGTTCCCTCCCCTTGGGCTCATGGCGCAAGTATTCATCAGATTCTCTAGGGGGCTTTTCCTGGCTCTCCATTCCCTCCCTAATGGCTCCGAACGCTGGTGTCTAACCACTATAGCCATATCTGGATCCTCTGCCCCGAGGAAGCCCAAACAGCTTAGCCAGGGCTAGAATTCAAGGCCTGAGCCCCAACCGGCAGGGGAACCGTTTTCTGGCGCCAAGGGTTTGATAAACTGAAGGCAGCGGGTGCTTCAGACTGAAGGACTAGGGGGTCCTAGGATTACCAACCCCCTCTCACCTTGAAAAGCACTAGAGGGGCATGGAAGACCTTCTTTCCAGGAAAGAGCAGGGCACCCTCGACCCTGAAGCCCCAAACGCGTGAGCTACCACCAACCTTCCGACTGACATCGGGGTCTCCTGCTGCCATCGCTTCTCGATTTCCCAGCCTTACCTTTGCAAACCGTCGGGTCTTGCTTCTGATCCTTTCTTCCACAACTCGTCGCCAGTCTGAAGGATCTGGATTCTCTCCAGAGAGGATGTGGATGCTGGGCTGCTTGACACCCGGGAGGCGCTCTGGTTTAGGGGGGATGGGCCGGGAGAGTTCCTGAGCCGCTGTGGCCAGAACCTGGGCAAAACGGCAGAGAGGGGTATGTGCTCTGAGAGGCTGGGGGTGCAGCGCACTCCCAGTCTCAAGGCACACGAGAGTTTCTTGCAAGTTAGGAGTGGTGCTCCCCTTCACCCACGGGACAGGAAAATTGATTTTCCTACAAGCACACTAAGGGCCAGCCCTCTCCCCATACTACACAGCTGTGTCACCCACCCGGACACAATTACCACCATGAAGGGCAAAAATGACCCTAGCAAAAAGAACCAGGGTGCATTTACCAATGGCCCAATGCCTGTGCCTGGCATAGCTGAGGGACAGTGCAGGCACTTTGCATGGGCAGCCGCCCAGCTTCAACACGATGCCATTTGAGTTCCAAGTCCAGCAGGTGAGTCCTTTTGCCTCAGTCAGCCCTGCACTTCACATGTCTGCGCGTGCTCTTTTAAACTTCAGTTAGACTTAGAGTTGGAGCCGGGGAGCAGGAAAGGTGTGGCGGTCGGTCAGAAACAGAAAACATGCTACGCTATTGGGAACCCCCTTGAATTCCCATTCCCTGCTGGGGGTGGGGAGGAGGACCCACAGAGCAACAACCGCCGTCTCTCAGCTTTCTATCTCAGCAGGCCAGCATAACTGGTGTGGTGCGTCTGTATATGGGGGAGCATGGAATTGACTTAACAGCTGGGGCCAAAGGCCTGTCTTCTTGCATTTCTCCCTCTCAACACAACATGGGTCAAGCACACTTGAGTGCAAGGAGGAGCTACAACCGGAAGGGCAGGGGGCAAGCCACTTACGTCCAACATGTCCATGCGCTGGCGGAGGCTGTAGTTCAGGGAGTAGAACTCTGTAGTCAAAAAGTGGGACACCTTGACAGCAGAAAGAGGAAAGATGGTTCAGATCAATGCTCCCTCTAAGCTGTGGAGTCTTGTGAGCAAAAGTTCTACTTTGTGAGCTACTGGCGTTAAAGTGAGCGAGTGATTTGGCTACCGCATAAATTTAGTTTGCTCTGGAGCCATCCTTCCTGAGCTAAGACAAAAATGTGTGAGCCGGAGGCTAAAAAACCTGTCAGCTAGCTCACACTAACTCAGCTTAGAGGGAACACTGGTTCAGATGCCTGCTGTGACTCTGCTCCCCGGGCTCCCTTGGGACCCCCCGACTCCTCTGCACAGGGCTACTGCTTATCCAGTGTTTCAAGTGCGCCCCTCCAAGAGAAGCCAACCGGCAATTCTTTACATGCCCAATAATTGCCATCCGTGGCAGCCAATGTTCCCTCTAAGCTGTGGAGTCTTGTGAGCAAAAATCCTACTCTGTGAGCAACCGGCATTAAAGATATGAGCGAGCGATTTGGCTACTGCATCAATTAGTTTGCCCTGGAGCCCTCCTTCCTGAGCGAAGACAAAAATGTGTGAGCCGGAGGCTAAAAAACCTGTCAGCTAGCTCACACTAACTCAGCTTAGAGGGAACACTGGTGGCAGCACAAGGACTCACCGGGACAGGATCTGTGACGGCGAGAGCCACCAGAGCGCTCTGCCGGAGCCCCATGAAACCTTCGATGTAGCTCTTCTCTTCCAGATGCAGCAGGACTTTTGTTAGTTCCACGCTCACCTGCAGAAAAACATCCAAGGCTGTCTGAGGTTTCACTATATCGAGAGAGAAATACGACACGGGGAGAAGAGTGCATCTGACGCAGGGAGGCTGGCCTCTGCTTTGGGATGCTGGCCTTCAATGTGATCGACAGACCTTTGCTCACACTGGTTCCCCGCCTAAAATAACGCTGGACCTGCCACATCATACTGCAGCCTCCCTGCCGAAATGGGTCATCAAGGATTCCTTTGAGGTTGCTTAGACTGATGATTTGGGGGGGAGATCAATGTATACAACGTCAAGGACTCGTGACAGCCACAGGTCCATCTTCTTAACAGTTTTCCTCGTCAGCACACGCATGCACACATACACGGGCGGTTAATCTCATCACTCAGAGGCAAGTCCTTGCACTGCTAACAAAACCAAAGCAGAACTGGGAGACACACACAGATCAAAGCCCCACAGGACTCTGAGGTGCACACTGCCTTTCACCTCTCGTGCAGCTGCTGCATTTCTTCGGATCAATGTCTCCAGGATGCCCACGGTGGCTTCGTACTTGTCTGCATCTTCGGGCCCTGTCAAGACTGAAATGGAGCACAAACATCTCAACAAACGTTCTCTGTGCAGTTCCGTACTGGGAAGAAATACAGTGAGGTAGCATGACGGTGCCCTGCATGGGAACGCTGCTGACTGGCCGTGACTCTCCAGGCTGAAAGGAATCTTCTCCAGATCCTTTCAGAGGAGGTGCCTGGGGACTTTGGACCTTTGGCATCTAAAGTGCATGAACACACACACACACTCCACCGAAGTCTGGCCTCTCCTCTAATAGAATGTCACATACGATCAGCCCAAAAGTCCATCCACTCAGGCATTCCGATACAGATGCCCAGGGGTCATTTCCTGCATTCGTACTTGTCTGCATCTTCAGGCCCTGTCAAGACTGAAATGGAGCACAAACATCTCAACAAACGTTCTCTGTGCAGTTCCGTACTGGGAAGAAATACAGTGAGGTAGCATGACGATGCCCTGCATAGGAACACTGCTGACTGGCAGTGACTCTCCGGGCTAAAAGGAATCTTCTCCAGATCCTTTCAGCGGAGGTGCCTGGGGACTTAACTTTGGACCTTTGGCATCTAAAGTGCATGAACACACACACACTCCACCGAAGTCTGGCCTCTCCTCTAATAGAATGTCACATACGATCAGCCCAAAAGTCCATCCACTCAGGCATTCCGATACAGATGCCCAGGGGTCATTTCCTGCAGGAGCGCACAGGAGCGGAGCTCCGGCAGTAAAGAGCCCAGGGGGCGGGCACATGCAACAAGCCCCGCCCCCTGCTCCCAGCAGCCCTCAACCACAGCAAGAAGCAGCCAGGTAAGTTGCAGAGCCCCCCCCCCCAGATAGCAATCCAAAACAGTCCAGTGGCACCTTTAAGGCCAAGGTTTATTCAGGTACAAGCTCTCCCTCCTCTGTGAGGGCAGATCTCTGTGTTCCCCCCCCCCAATAGCTAGCAATCCGAAACAGTCTAGTGGAGCCTGAGTGGTGGGTGTTACCTTCTGACACTTTTCCAGTGATGTCAGGGGGTGTGGCATATGCAAATGAGTTATGCTAATGAGCTCCTGCACCTATTTTTCTACGAAATGACCCCTGCAGATGCCTCCAAGAAGTCTACAGAGCAAGAAGGCAGTGGTTCCCCAGCATTCAGTGGCATCTGTCTTCGAGCACCAAAGCTCCGTCATGGTCCACAGACTTCCTTCGGGATGAAGGCAGTGTAAGGTGAAACAATCTCAGCAGGCTTTTAAGGGCATCAGAAGAACATAAGAGATGCCAATGTTGGATCAGGCCAAAGGCCCATCCAGTCCAACGCTCTGTATCGCACAGTGGCCAGAAATACCAGTGCCATCAGGAGGTCCACCAGTGGGGCCAGGACACCAGAAGCCCTCCCACTGTTGCCCCCCCCAAGCACCAAGAACACAGAGCATCACTTGCCCCAGACATAAGAACATAAGAGAAGCCAATGTTGGATCAGGCCAATGGCCCCTCCAATCCAACACTCTGTCACACAGTGGCCAGAAATACCAGGGGCCATCAGGAGGTTCACAGAAGCCCTCCCACTGTTGACTCCCTCAACCATCAGATAATGGAAGAGTCAAGCACAGAACACGTCAATACCTGTTAGAAAGCCCCAAGGAACGTCACAGGGGCTCTTTTGACCGTAACCGCAACACACGAGGAAACCCAGAGATATGTTATTCGCTCTCTCTAATCTCTTACTTTCAATACAATCTCGGATATAAGCAGGAGCCTTGATCTTCCTCAGCTCTTTATCTTCAGACATGTCGTAGGGAACGAGGTCATCGTCGCTATACAAGAAACAGATTGGGAATTACTCGCTTCTGAGACTTGAAGTCCTCTCTCAGTCAGCTTGTCCGCTTCCCCACAGCTATAAGTCCAATACACGTTTAAGCAAAGTAGTATTTTATTAAAGCCATGATAGAGCATGAACAAAGGCACTGTCCAGAATACCTGGGCTGGGTCGGGCAAGGGATAATGAAAGACATTCAAAAAGACAATAACCAATAACCTTGGTTCCCGCCGAGCGGGCAGACTTTTGGTTCCGCGCTCAAAAGCCTGAGAAGCAACGTTTCTATAAAGATAAACAAATGCAGCCTCACACGGTTCAGCTCATTACAGTCTAAGCTAAGCTGCTCCTTCTCCACACCTGTTAATCTTGCAGATAAGCATACGCTAGCGTTCATAGAATGGAATGCATGACACAAGGATGCACACAGGACACTCAGGAGGCATGCGCAGATGCCGGGCAGACAGAAGGGGGGGGGGTGAATTGATACACATAGACCTCCATGGCAGATATCTGACACAGCTGCAATCTTTGAATCAAAAATTCAATCCACTTTGATTTTTGGCGATTTAATTCCCACTGCATACCTGTCCAGGTCGGAGTCGACCCCCTTGCCCAGCTCTTCAGAAGCACCCAAGGATGGCCTCACGCTGGGCTTCAGGACAGCACTTGATGCCACAGGTGGTCTGTTGTTCCTGCGGCAGCAAAAGGGGGTCAGGTTAAAAAAAGAGAAAATAAAGCTACTCACTGCACAGAAATCGTTCCTCAGCACAAGGGATTACCTTCATGCAGGGCTCTTTTTGTAGCAGGAACTCCTTTGCATATTAGGCGACACACCCCTAATGTAGAGCCAATCCTCCAAGAGCTCACAGAGCTCTTCTTCCAGGGGCTACTGTAAGCTCTTGGGTGTGTCGCCTAATAAGCAGATCGGAGCAAAGGAGTACCTGCTACAAACACTAAGTAGCTTCTGGCTATGGGGTCCTGTTGAACCCGTAAGAATGAGAGATTTCACAGGCAAACTGTGAACACTAACCTCAAGTATCTCACTAGTCCTCAGTGCCATACTCGAAAAAAACCCCAACGACAAGTGGCTAAGTTGTGTGAATGTAATGTGGGCTTCTCCAGTCTCCAATTAACAACACCTCCCCCTAGGCTTTACTGCAACAGAAGTCATGCCAGGGCCTCACTGAAGAATGTTCAAGGCTAGGAAATGGGGTTTTGCACAACCAAGCAGCTTCCCTGTCATCCCTTTTCTTGCTATCTTGTCCCCTCCCTGGATCTTTAAAATCAGGGTGTCCCGGTTCAGGGATCCCGGGACTTAACCCACACCCCCCAGAGACCCCGACGACCACCAACTCACCCAGGGAACCAGCAGACCGAGAAGACCCTGCCGAGCCCCGTCAGCACAGCCGGGACACAACGGTTCGACCCTGCCCGACCATGGAGCACAGAGCCGTGGGGAGCAGCAGGAGAGGTTGATGGCGTTGGGGAGAGGCTGACTGTGGCCCCACGACCTCGCGAAACCCTACACCCCAGCTGCGGGGAAGGCGTTGGAGCTTATCAAGGGGGGCGGGGCTGGGAGAAATGTGAGGGAGGCGGGGATGGGAGATGGCACTGAACGAGGGAGCTGGGTATAAAGGAGAGGGAAGCGAAGGGGCCGGGAGGAAGGACGTGCTTGGAACTACCTGACGCTGGCAGAGAGAAGGCGTCCAGGGAGGACGCTGAGAGGCTGGGGAACCGAAGCATGGAGGTAGAGGGACATGCGGAGTGGCGTTCAACTCCGTCCCCTACCCATCTGAGGCCCCAACGCTCCCCCTCTTCTTTACAAGCCTCGTCGCCCAGAGCCCTCGAACCTCCCCTGCTTTGAGATGTCACGGCCACAGGAGGGTCTGCCCCCAGAGCCCAGGGCGGGCTTGACACAGGGCAGTTGAAAACAGGCTGTCAAAGAAAAAAAATTTAAGAATTCCTGCAAGAATTTCTGAAGTGTCCTTGTTTGTTGTAATCTCCATCAGGAGCCTTTTTATGCACAATACTTGTGCTGGCAAAGTCATAAGGGAATGAGGATACAACTTACGCAATGCCTGGCAGATCACCGACAAGGGTCTGTTCTGTTCTCGGAGTCAGCAAGGACTTGAGTTCTCTGAGCTCCTCGTCTTCTTCGTACTAACACATTTAAAGTTAAAAACAAACCCTTGTCAGCTCCCTTTTGAAGCAAAGGATCGGCCACCTTGCGTTTCCTTGAGGCAGCTCTTGGATGTTTTGCTACGGAAAAGGGGCTGAAAAGATGTGCGCAAAGGCATGTTCAGCAGCGAATATTTCTCCCAGAAGACTGTGCGGCAAAAGCCTGGTTTAGCCAGCTTACCTGAAATTTCAGGGCAGGCCCTTCTGGCGTTATCCTGGTGCTAATGCTCTCTGCTACCACCATTCCCAGATGGCGGATCTGGGGCAAGTTGCTGTCCAGGTGGCACTTCATCCCCTCCATCACACTTGTGAGCAGCTCTGGAAGAGTAAGGCGGCGGCAGCCAGGTGTGAGCTCAGCAGCCTCCAGTCAGGGCCAGCCCCAGCTTATTTTGCACCCTAGGCAAGGATCCCTTCTGGCGCCCCACCCCCACCCTGTGCTGCTGCTGCTCCTCCTCCTGAGAAGTTAGCTGGCCAAAGAGGCGGCAGCGGTCACCAGGTCAGAGCCAGTGGGGGTGGGGTGGGTGCAGTTTAGCGCCCCTTGTCAGGGTGCCCGGAGAAGAGGCTGACCGGCGTGGCTCTCAAAAGCCGTCGCTCCCCTGGCCCTGCTGTTCCTCCTCCTCCTCCTCCTCCTGAAAAGTTAGCTGGCCAAAGAGGCAGCGGCGGTTACCCAGTCAGAGCCAGCGAGGGGGCTTTTTGAGTGGGGGGGCAGGTGCAGTTTGGTGCCCCTCGTCAGGGTGCCCGGAGAAGAGCTGACCGGTGGGGCTCTCAAAAGCCGTTGCTCCCCCGGCCCTGCTGCTGCTGCTCCTGCTGCAGCTGCCAGTCCCCGGCCGCAAGGAGGAGGAGGAGAAGCATTCACGTTCCGCTGGGAAGGGGGCAGGCAGGGAGAAGTTAGCCGGCCAAAGAGGCGGTGGATGGCAATGGCTGGCCCAGATCAAACAGTCACAGAAATGCATCAATAACTTCACTAGTGGTTTGTGGTGTATTCCGTAGAAGATATCTCAGCCTCTTTTGAGAGATTTGCTGGGCGTTCTGCCGCCAGCAGGAGAGCACAGCACTGATCTTTCTTACCCATGATTTATAATCCAAATCCCAAATAGTGGCAACACGGATGGAAGCAGCCGTTCTCAACTCAGAGGGAGGAGCAACAGGCAGAAAAGACACAGCGAGGATGTTCAATTACAGCCCAGAAGAACCACTGGATGGGCATTTTTGTGAGAGATCTGCATTGCAAACCGCAAAAGCAACTATTCTCACCCATTCTGGTCGCAGTACAGGTCCAAATGCAGAGCTGGGCACTGCAGTTTGGCAGAGGTGCCCACAGCCAGCTCCGTGGGACTCATTTCTTTCCTGCCCCTCTACCTTGCCTGTTGCTCTCTATTTCTGCGTCTTTCACGTGTGAGAGGCAGATCAGGATGGCCTTGCTTATGTACAGCTGCTGCTCCACAGGCGAGTGCTTCACGGCGCTGCTGCTTCCCCAGGTCCCCAGCAGCTCTTTCAAAACCTGCATGAGAATTCTAGCATCAGGTGCAACAGGAAATTCTGCACCCCTTCCTCCAAAGCCTCTCTGGAGTCCTGTTCATGCAACAACTTGTCTTTTTAGAACTTTGAGTCAATTTCTGATTTGCCAGTCTGTTCAAAGAGAGTGAACAGACAAGCAAGACAGGCAGTTGTTTCTGGTGAGATCCGAGGATCATCCTAAAGTAGTTCTGATTCATTTTCATATCTAATGTTGACCACAGTGATGGAGGGAAGGTTGGGGGGGAGGGAGCGGAGAAAAGGGAGGGAGTGGTGGCAGAGTGGGGCAAGCAGACAGCTGGGGCAGGAGTCAAGGAAGGAGGCAGCAATGACAGCGGGAGGGATGAAGTGGAGGCAGGACGGGAGAAAGGGAGTCGTGGTGGTGAAGGCAGCCGTGGGGGGGGGCAGTGGCAAAAGGAAGATAGCAGCTGGGAAGAAGATATGGCAAAGGTGTCCGGGACGGAGAAGATGGGGGCACCAGCTGGGGGGCGGCATTTTCCCTCCCCTGATGGTTCATGCAAAAACAGCAAAGGGAGCCCTCCTTGCGACGGGCTCTTTTTGTAGTAGGTACTCCTTTGCATATTAGGCCACACACCCCTAATGTAGCCAATCCTCCAAGAGCTTACAGAGCTCTTCTTACAGGGGCTGCTGTAAGCTCTTGGAGAATTGGCTACATTAGGGGTGTGTCGCTTAATATGCAAATGAGTACCTGCTACAAAAAGAGCCCTGCGTTGCGTCTATCAACATTGCTAGCCACTCCACCAACCTTGATCAGTAAGGGACGCCGCGTGCTGTCCAGGGCTAGGTACCCAAGGAGGCTCTGCAAGACTGCGGTCTGTAATGAAAGCCATAGCATACATTTTAATGGTCAGGGTGGAAGGGGGGGCAAGCACTTCCTTTTCCTAGGCACGTTAAGTCCCCGCACCAGCATGCTCAAACCACAGAGGTTCTAGTGGTACCCAAGAGAACAGAAGTGATGCTGCTGCTCACGAGGCAGAATGTGATGCAGACAGCTTTGGAAGGTCACTTGCCTAGATGAAGGGGAAGAGAAGGCCGTACAACACCTGAAGGCTGCCTGATGTAGCTCCAGCTCAGAATTTAAGCATGTGCAGGGCTCACCAGGACTGCTCACAGGACCACCTCACCCAAGAGGAGTTGTCCTTCCACACCCGTACCCGTTTACTGTTCTGTACACACGGGTGGGAACATGCTTGAGCACAAAGCCTGCGGCACAAAACATTCTTCCTGGCGCTCCTGCTGTGAAGAACTTGGCCGCCAGTGTGGGACGTCGCCCATCTTGGATTTTATGTAAATTATCAATGCACCAAATTTTATGTCAAGATATAGTGTTTTTATTATGCTGTTGGTTGTATGCATATTTTAACTTCGGCATGGCTGTTTGTTAGCCGCCCCGAGCTGTATATTGGATGGGGCGGGATATAAAAAAATAATATTAAAAAAAACTAAAATAATAAAAAACCCTCTATGGATTTATTACCCACGTACACAAAGAGCCAATACGGAGTGGCTTTGCACAAAGAGCTCTGAGCTGCTCAGGTGAAGGGCAGAAGGCAACTATTAACACCATCCAGTCCCCCTTACGGGGTGAGGGCAGGTCCTACCACCAGTGTTCCCTCTAAGCTGAGTTAGTGTGAGCTAGCTCACAGTTTTTTAGCCTCCGGCTCACACATTTTTGTCTGGGCTCAGGAAGGAGGGCTCCAGAGCAAACCAATTTATGTAGAAGCCAAATGGCTCACTCACAAATTTAATGTCAGTAGCTCACAAAGTGGAATTTTTGCTCACAAGACTCCACAGCTTAGAGGGAACATTGCCTACCAGGCTGGCTTCAAGATGGCAAGTGGTCCAATCTCACTGGGGCTTGCGTAGTTTAAGAACTAAAGAATGCTCCTCCCCCCCCACTCTTAAAACAAAGCAGGGGAATACCTTTCTTATGCTTGTGGAGAGGGAACCAAGGAAAACCTGCTTCACCTGCTCTGAAACAGCAGAACCTGAGCCTCATCAAAAGCTCATCGGTCCAGTCCCACAACACTGCTGGCTTTCCCATGAGCACTACCCAGGGAACCCTCACCGGATGGCTGTACTGAAGCAGCAGCAACTTCTGGGTCATCACAAACTGAGACTTCTTGCTCTTGACAACCAAATTCCCCAGCAATCGGGACAACACGGCAGACCTAGCAACACAAAAGACAAAGCGTCAGCAATCCGTTCCTTCTCTCTAGCTCTGTAGCATGTGACTGGCTGACTTGGGAACAGACCTCAGCAATCCAAGAACCGAATATCCACGCTTACAAACCTACAGGAAGGACAAACTGCGGCATGAGATGTACAACAGACACACTCTTTGAAAGTATGCAAGCTGGGCTGGGGGAGGGGGTGTGTTGTCTGTGAGAAACTGGGGGAACAATCTGAACCTCTCACTCCACACGCTCTTCCCCCACCAGGATTCTTGAAGCTCTTAGGGGCTGAAGAGGCCTTTGCAGGCTCTGTTTCCACTTAGTCCAGTGGAATAAGTGGTAGTTACAACCACTGTTCCCTCTAAGCTGAGTTAGTGTGAGTTAGTTCACAGTTTTTAACCTCCAGCTCACACATTTTTGTCATAGCTCAGGAAGGATGGCTCCAGAGCAAACTAATTTATGCAGTAGACAGATTGCAAAGCCAGTAGCTCACAAAGTAGAATTTTTGCTCACAAGACTCCACAGAGAGGGAACGTTGGTTACAAGTATCTAAATGATAAAAGCATGCCTCCTTTCCCACAGGAATCTGACTTCTTACCCTGGCGCTGCCCGAACAAAGCCACAGATCACTGCTTCCATCCAGCGGTCCGGCACGCTCTCGATCAGTCGCCAGCATATTCGCTGCCAGATGCAGTCAGACTGGGTTCGATCCGTCAGGTGGGGCACCAAGACGCTCATGATTTCTTCTGTATTGCAAAAGGAAAAATAATCAGGTTCTCTGGGACAGGGCGAAAAAAAGTTCTCTCTTTACATCTTTTTGGCCAGCAATCAACACAGTGGGGGAGACGGGGAAAAGAGGAGGAGAGGAGGAGATTGGATTTATACCCTGCCCTTCACTACCCAAAGGAGTCTCAGAGCAGCTTACAAACTCCTTCCCCTTCCCACAACAGAGAGCTCTTTCAAGAAGTGCCCTTTCAAGGACAGCTCATCAGAACTATGGCTTGCCCAAGGTCATCCAGCAGCTGCAAGTGGAGAAGTGAGGAATCAAACCTGGTTCCCCCCAGATTAGAATCCGTGCACTTAACCACTATACCAAACGGGCTCTCCCTCTCTGCTTTTCCAGAGTTCGGACTTTTCGATATTCATGATGGCATGTGCCCAAGAACATAGCGTTACTGTTTCTGCTTGCTCCTATGAGATGAACCTTTTCTCCATTGCTTTCTGCTTGGAAAGTCTGCCTTCTAGTGGCAGAAAGGAAGCACACTGCTTCTCTGTTAAATCATGCTTGCCACAAGTAGGGACAACACACAAACCCTGTATGAGCCCCCAAGCCAATGTGCTTCCTCCCCGCAATTTCTGCTCTTTTGGTGTTCCCCCCCAGGGATGTTTGTGCGATGGCAGCCTAGAAGAAGAAGAAGAAGAAGAGATGGGATTTATACCCCGTCCTTCACTACCCAAAGGTGTCTCAGAGCGGCTTACAAACTCCTTTCCCTTCCCCTCCCACAACAGACAGCCTGTGAGGTGGGTGGGGCTGAGAGAACTCTGACACAAACTGCCCTTTTTCAAGGACAGCTGTGCCAGAGCTTGTGACTGACCCAAGGTCACATCAGCAGGTGCAAGTGGAGGAGTGGGGAATCAAACCCGGTTCTCCCAGATTAGAGTCCGCCAGGGCTCTCACCGCAGTCCCCCCGACGTTTTGGAACAGAATGATGTTGGAGGCAGAAACTCTGCTTTGGTTCAGAGGGCTTCCTGCGACATTTGCTTGCTGCCGATACAGGCTGCAAGTGATGGGGCTGGTTTATGGATTTATTATTGTTGTTGACATAACATGTAGTCAGTTGTCTTTGGTTTGTTTTTTCCCTAAAGTAAACTGCCCTGTGCCTGTTGGGGAAAGGTGAGTTATAAAGGTTTTAACAACTAATCAAGCTGTTTAAAGAGAAACATACCTGTGGTGTGGCATGTAATTATAGTATTATATACACACACAAAGCAAATCTAATTTTGTGCATGTTTTAAAAAACTATTTATAGACTTTAAACTCACTCAGGTTTGCCACTCACTTAGAAAATGTCAGTCGCAGAGCAGCAGGAAGATATGCCGGATGCAGGCTTGATATGAAATTACCACCTGGCCACCTGACAGCCATGCTGATTCTGTGAACTTAGGCAGATCATGAGAGGAAGGGCAGGGAGGGTTGCCTCAGGGCTTAGTTCTCGTGGCCCTTTCTTACACTCCCGGGGAAATGCCAGTCGCCACTTTGTGGCCAGGAAGCAATTTTCTCCAGGCCAGTTTGGCCAGCGTTCCTGGATGGGTTTTTTTGCCATCTTCTGGGCATGGAGCAGGGATCACTGGGGGGAGTGTGTGTGTGGGGGGGGAGGCAGTTGTGAATTCCCTCCACTGTGCAGGGTGTTGGACTAGATGACCCCGGAGCAATGCTCCCTCTAAGCTGTGGAGTCTCGGGAGCAAAAATCCTACTTTGTGAGCTACTGGCATTAAAGTTGTGAGCGAGCCATTTGGCTCCTGCCTTAATTAGTTTGCTCTGGAGCCCTCCTTCCTGAGCTGAGACAAAAATGTGTGAGCCGGAGGATAAAAAAACTGTGAGCTAGCTCGCACTAACTCACCTTAGAGGGAACACTGCCCTGGAGGTCCCTTCCAACTCTGTGAATCTACCATTCCAAAGCTACAACCAAAAGAAGCCCCAGTTCTTTACCCATAAGGCCCTAAACAGCTTGGAACCAGGGTGCTCGAAGGGCAGCTGCCCCTTTATTTCTCCGCCTGCCAGCTAGGAACCTCTTCTCAAGCCCTGTTCCCTGTGCCCGCAAGAGCCAAGGCAGCTGGCTTCTTCAGGGGGGGTGCCCTGCCTTTGGGATGCCCTCCCCCTTGAGGTTTGCCTGGGGCCTGCCAGGCCAAACCGTTTCTCTTCCACCAGGCTTTGTGTGGCCTGGGGCTCACCTGGGGACTGGTTCATTAATATCACTCTGGACTGCTCTGCTGATGTGCTTCCATGCCCGGGCTTTTGTTCTTGGCCTGGTTTGTTTTTATAGGCATCTTTTTTATTGATCTTATTTGTTCCGGCCACTGGTTTGGTTTGTTTTCTCACATGATTTATTCTGCGGGCTTGTTTTATTGTTTTCGTTGTCAGCCACCTCCCAAGGAGGTCTGGAAGAAGTGGCATATAATTTCCTAAATTAATGGAGGGAAAGGGGAAAAAGTGCCCACAGACCATCTGGTCATCTCCAAATCCTTTAAAGCAATAAAGCTACATTCCGGACTCTCAATGAATGGTCATTTCCCCTAAACCCCCCCGGTGTGGGAGGTGTTAGCCGGTGAACAGAATGTCTATCTCGTAAGATCGGAAGCCTAGAAAGATCTCTTCGGCATCAAGAAGCCTGTAATGGGCCTTTCCGGCCAGGCGGTAGCAGTGCGGCATTGCGACTCGAAGCAGTCCTGGAGAAAGCTGACGTCATCAAGCCAAGCCGAGTGAAAAATGCCGTCTGGAACATGTCTAGTCTACAGCTGAAACAAAATCCCCGTCGGCTGTGAACGTGTGTGATTTAAAGATTTATATGTTGTCCTCCTTTACCCATATGAATCATTGTTAGTCCCTTGTGAATGTGTAACTGTAAATCGCTCAGAGCCAGCAGCTCTGCAGGATTGAGCGATTAATAAATTGAAAGATTATTATTATTATTATTGAATGTCCAACTATCACAGTGCATCATTACTATACTTTTTTATTATTATTATAAAGCACTTCATTCTGATTTCAGGCAGAGGTTTTCTTAGTCCAAATGTATTCTCTTGAAATCAGAATACATATAGAGTTTTGATTCTATAGTGTAGAACACATTAATTCCATGGCTGCTGTCTATTCCAGAGGGGTAGCCAAGCTAAAGTGCAATCGTATGAATGATTTCAGTGGGCTTAGACTGGAGTATCTCTGCACAGGACTGCACAGTTAGGAGTCTTGAAGCACCATGAAGCTCAGTGAGATTTTATTCCCGCCTAAGCACTTGTGGACCAATGTGTATTTTGTCAACCTGCTCCATACATCGGACAGTGGGCTCTAGCTGATGAAAATGTAGGCGGACATAAACATCTCTTCAGTCTTTATGGTGCTGCAAGGTTCCTGTTTGTTATGATAGGGACTCCGGGGCAAGGGGTGCTCTGTATTCTTGGTGCTTGGTGAGGGTCAACAGTGGGAGGGCTTCTAGTGTCCTGGCCCCACTGCTGGACCTCCTGATGGCACCTGGTATTTTTGGCCTGTGTGACAGAGTGTTGGACTGGATGGGCCATTGGCCCGATCCAACATTGGCTTCTCTTATGTTCTTATGACCTACAGCGGCCGCTTCTGTAAAACTTTTCTGGGCACAAGCCCTGTACCATCTTGAATTAATGTTTTACAAAAAACACACCATCCCCTGTGTGGGGGCTTAGGGTGAGAGGCAGAAGCTGTGGGGGTCTGAAGAGGGGTCTTCCACGTCTTCAACAATTTCCTCAGATGCTGTGGCTAGCTTGGCAAAGCATGATTGGGGTCATGTGGTCAAATGCTCTGGCATCCTCAAGCTGAGGGGCTTCTGAATTCTGCGCTTTTGAACCTTTCTGGGAAGAGTCCGCAGTTAAATGATGCTGCAGATGCAGAACTGCCATCAGTTTAAGTGAAAAGAACCTCGGTTTCCAGAGCGAGGAAAGACCTTTGCCTGAGATTTTGGAGTGCTGCTAGAGATATGGGCTTAGAGCAGCTTCGTGCATATGCACACCCGCCCAACATATTAAAGAGGTCTTCGAGGCCCATTTAGATGGAGTGGATCGCCTGATCCAGAGCAGAGAGGACGCTCGTCTGAAAGCGAATAGTCCTTAAAAGAAGAGTGTGCACAAAGAGCCATCACGTTGCAGCCAACTCATGGCAACCCTGTAGGGTTTTCCAGGCAAGAGAATAACACAGTGGGTTTGCCTGTACCTGTTTCTGCATCGATCCAGGTGGGGCAGCCGTGGTGGTCTAAAGCAGCAGAACAAATTCTGAGTCCATTTGGCACCTTTAAGACCAACAAAGGTTTATTCAAAGTATGAGCTTTTATGTGAGGAAGTATGCTCACACCTTGAATAAACCTTTGTTGGTCTTAAAGGTGCCTGACTGGACTCTGAATTTGTTCTACTTCTTCCGCATAGTGACCCTAGAATTCCTTGGTGGGCTCCCATCCAAATACTAACCAGGGCCGACCCTGCTTAGCTTCCAAGATTGGACTAAGGTAAAGGTAAAGGTTTCCCTTGCTCGAAAGCCAGTCGAATCCGACTCTAGGGTTGCGGTGCTCATCTCCGTTTCAAAGCCGAAGAGCCAGCGCTGTCCGAAGATGTTTCCGTGGTCATGTGGCCGGCATGACTAAACACCAAGGCGCACGGAACACTGTTCCCTTCCCACCGAAGTGGTGCCTATTTATCTACTTGCAATTTCTTGCTTTCGAACTGCTAGGTTGGCAGCAGCTGGAACTAGAGACGGGAGCTCACTCCATCATGCGGCAACTCGGGTCTCGAACTGCTGAACTACCGACCTTCCACAGCCTGCCGTTCAGCGTCTTAACCACTTGAGCCACCGCAGCTCCTAAGATTGGACTCGTCAGGGATAAAAGAAGACAGAGAGGGCCAAATGCAAGGTTACTCACTCTGCCTTCCGTGCACACAGACCTTCCCCAATATCTGAGACACGAAGGCGATGGAGCAATCCAAACCACCTAGAATAAAAACAAAAGCCATGGCCAGTCAGATCAGCAGAACCTTGTTCAGTGTCAAACCTCAAATCTGCTGCATTGTTAACAAAAGCCTGATGGTGCAGAAAGTCCACTCAGGACCCAAAGCGAGCACCAGCAGAGCCCACAGCCCTCTAGGAAGCCAGAACTGGATGCCACCTCTGTGTTTACTGGGCTGTAAGGAAGACACCAACTTGTCTGTAACATAGCAACACTGTAGAAGTGAAGGATGGCAGGAGGGGAAGGATCGACCTTGCAAGTCTTTACAGGAACTGTCCAGTACTCCGCTTTGCAAGAGCCGCACAGCTGAGATCTCTTAACTGACAGCTGCACTGGAGACAGGGAGGGGCAGCGTCTTAACAGATCCTTCCAAAGAGGGGAAAGGAGCGCGCGTCTGGTGGGCAGGATGTTTTCCTACCTTGTGGAGTCATTGTAAGTTCCAGTTGATTTTAATTACTCTTTGTATGTTGGCAACCCCCTGAAGGACGTGGAATTTCCTTTTTTCCTTGAAGTATTGTTAATTGAGGTTGCCTTTGCTGTTTCTGATAATAAAAGCACTTTTGCCTGATTTGCCAAACCGGAGCATAGAGCCTGAACCTGGGTAGTCTGGAAGAGAACCCAAAGCCTGTGTCTTACATGGCAATTCAGAAAAGAACTGTTGTAGTTGCAGCTGTTCAGTCAAAGGTGAGAAGGCAGCACCTGCCAAAATACTTCCATCTACATAGCTGTTCAAGGTAAAGGAACTCTGTTTTCCTTTGTACCTGCTCACGCACAGCCCTTCTTTAAAAAGAAACAAAATAAACAACAACGGGTACCACTGGCATGATCCATCTTAGGTACTGGAACGACTCATTAATGTCTCTCAGCTCACCAGCTGAAAACCAGTGCTCTCACACCTCATATACATAGCTGGCACTATATACACAATCTCATTGTATGCAGACATTACAACTGAAACAAAAAACACTGACCAAGATCCCACCATATCATAGTTGACTTGACAATCAAGCATTTAAAAAAACCCAAGGATTGGCTGAGCGGAAGGGTGGAAGCAGTGGCAGGAGGCGATGGTGGCAAAAGGAGAGACGGCATCAACAGAGGAGGAGGAGGAGGAGGAGATTGGATTTATAACCCACCCTTCACTTGGAGTCTCAGAGCGGCTTACAAACTCCTTTCCCTTCCCCTCCCCACAACAGACACCCTGTGAGGTGGGTGGGGCTGAGAGAGCTCTGACACAAACTGCTCTTTTTCAAGGACAGCTGTGCCAGAGCTTGTGACTGACCCAAGGTCACATCAACAGGTGCAAGTGGAGGAGTGGGGAATCAAACCCGGTTCTCCCAGATCAGAGTCCGCGCACTTAACCACTACACCAAACATTGATAGGATCCAGTCTCATAACGTTCTTTGTTAGAACTGAGGTCAAGCGCGCAAAGCAAGCAACCCTTCCCCACAACTGACACCCTGTGAGGTGCGTGGGGCTGAGAGAGCTCTGACACAAACTGCTCTTTTACAAGGACAGCTGTGCCAGAGCTTGGGACGAACCCAAGGTCACATTAGCAGGTTGCAAGTGGAGGAGTGGGGAATCAAACCCGGTTCTTCCAGATCAGAAAAACTCTCTCCCCTGTGAAGGGTTCTCAGAAACCCAGAAGCTTGCAAACTACTGTACCAGTAGCCTACATGGGTCCGTTAGAAAGTATTGCTGTATTTCAGCTCATCTCTCCCCACTAGGATCTCGTTGCCGCAGTAGGCCTTCGTGCCAGCTCACCTCGCAGCGATTCTGAGATCCTCTCAAGCACCCGTACGATTTCCACACCGAGCAACGGGAAGTAGTTTTGGGGAAAGAAGACTGGATGGTTTTCTCCCCGGAGCTTGTTGGCGAGATGGTCAGGTAGACACACAACCCTGTTGAGGAGCGCTTCCTGCAGCACCGGAGAGCCAGCTTGAGATTGGTGCCTGCACACCTCCCACATCAAAGAGGACAGTCCACCTCTCTGTAGGAATCGCTCCAGGACCTCAGTGACTTTGTTCAGACGAAAACTGGGCCTGCACGGAGAGGAATTTCCCCACTTAGATATGTTAATCAATGAAGAAAAAGCGAGAAAGCAACACAACAGGATGGCACTGTCTGGCTCGGCCATGCCCACATCACGTGGAATCGACACTTAATCTCAGGCTGCCATTTCCCTCTTTTAAAAAAGCACTTGTCGAGTGGTGGTGGTGGAAAGTGCTGTCAAGTCACAGCCAACTTTTGGTGATCCCAGTGAGGGGTTTCGAGGCAAGAGACGAACAGAGGTGGTTTGCCCCTGCGTGCCTCAGCGTAGCAACCCTGGACTTCCTTGGTGGTCGCCCATCCAAGAACTAAGCAGGGCTGACCCTGCTTAGCTACTGAAATCTGATTAGAATTAGGCAAGCCTGGTCTATCCAGGTCAGGGCAAGAGTCGTTCAGAGGTGGTTGGCCATTGCCTGCCTCTGCATAGCAACCCTTGACTTCCTGGGTGGTCTCCCATCCAAGTACTAACCAGGGCTGACCCTGCTTAGCTTCTGAGATCAGACGAGATTGGGCTAGCTTGGGCCATCCAGGTCAGGACAAAAGACAAACGGAGGTGGTCTGCCATTGCCTGCCTCTGCGTAGCAACCCCGGACTTCCTTGGTGGTCTCCCATCCAAGAACTAACCAGGGCTGACCCTGCTTAGCTTCTGAGATCAGACAAGACTGGGCTAGCCTGGGCCATCCAGGTCAGGGCAAGAGATGTTCAGAGGTGGGTTGGCCATGGCCTGCCTCTGCGTAGCAACCCTGGACTTCCTGGGTGGTCTCCTATCCAAGGACAAAACCAGGCCAGCTCTGCTTAGCTTCTGAGATCAGACAAGACTGGGCTAGCCTGGGCCATCCAGGTCAGGACAAAAGACAAACGGAGGTGGTTGGCCGTTTCCTGCCTCTGCGTAGCAACCCTGGGCTTCCTTGGTGGTCTCCCATCCAAGAACTAACCAGGGCTGACCCTGCTTAGCTTCTGAGATCTGGTGAGACTGGGCTAGCCTGGGCCATCCAGGTCAGGGCAAGAGACGTTCAGAGGTAGGTTGGCCATTGCCTGCCTCTGCGTAGCAACCCTGGACTTCCTGGGTGGTCTCCCATCCAAGTACTAACCAGGGCTGACCCAGCTTAGCTTCCGAGATGTGACAAGATCAGGCCAGCCTGGGCCATCCAGGTTAGGGCCTAGTTGTGGTAAAAAACTTAAAAACGTGTAGGCAACATCTGATGAAGATTCAGAGCTTCATCAAGCCACCCACACAACAAAGACCATGCTTTCTCCGTGAGATAGATGACAGTCACATCACCCCATGGAGCCAGTCTTGGTGATCACCTCCATGAACGCAGCTGGCAATCTGCAGAGCAAGGCGGTAAGCAACTGCAATGCAACACCAAGTGTTCATTCACCGCTCTCTGGTGGGGCACCTATGGGTACCGTGGTGCCAGCCAATTTTTTTTGGGCACCCCTAAAGCAAAGAGTTGGTCCAGGCTTTCCTTTGCTTTAACTGAGCAGGAGATGCTTCAGGGGAGCTCAAGAGGCAGCTCCTTTATGAGAGCAGGGAGCATCCACTTGGAAGCAGCCGCCTCTGTTTTAAAAAAGAAGAAGAGATTGGATTTATACCCCGCCGTTCACTTGGAGTCTCAGAGCGGCTTACAAACTCCCTTCCCTTCCCCTCCCCACAACAGACACCCTGTGAGGTGGGTGGGGCTGAGAGAACTCTGACACAAACTGCCCTTTTTCAAGGACAGCTGTGCCAGAGCTTGTGACTGACCCAAGGTCACATCAGCAGGTGCAAGTGGAGGAGTGGGGAATCAAACCCGATTCTCCCGGATTAGAGTCCTCTCTCCTAACCACTACACCAGAATGGCTCTCAGTTTGCTTTACAACCTCCTAATGTTGCTTGCTTTACAACCTCCTAATGTTTTAAGTTAGATCCATCCACAGGGCAGCCATTTTGGGTGGCATGCATTATCCTTTCTCAACATTCCAAAAGCACAAGTTTGGGGACTCCTGCCTTAGTTGCTATTTCCAGGCTCAAAACAGAGATTCCAAACACTAAAATTCTAGAATCAGAACTGCAACCATAAAAGCCATGCTTACCCTGTAGAAATGACAGAGTCCAATAAAACCATAAAGGATTGGTCTGCTGGTCCTTCCAGGAAAAAGCTATCCCACAATTCCTTCTCCTCGTCTGATGGGAAAAGCTCCAGCCAATCTGGACCCACGTTACTGATAAGACATTGCAGAAAGGTAGTGAAATGTCTGTGGATAAATTCTTCCTTCTCTTTCAGAGAGGGCGGGCTTTCCGTTCCGCCCAGGTACCTCTTAATTGTCTGCAAAGTCTCACAGATCTGGATGCCATCTCTGGAAGAAGATAGGATGCTATTTGCTTCCAGCACTGCACGACAAACTGGAAGCAAGTCCATTTCTCCAAGCTGCTGATGGAAAACAATGAGAAAAGTGGTTAAGTAAAAACAGAGAGAGGTTAATTATGGTACCGCTAGTTGTTACTATCCATAGACCAGAAAGTGCAATGACAAAGAGGCAAGAAGCAAACATTTTCAGGGTCCCAAACTGACAAAAGTCTGAAAACAATTCCTCAAGCATATAAATTTTGCAAGCTATGTAGCATGATACAGTCCTTTAACACTTGAGTTTCTACTATGTACAGTCTACCATCTCTGAAGCTTCCTGATGTAGCTTCTAGAACCAAGGAGAAACCCGTGAAGCAGAATGTGCAAGGACAGTGGGATGCATTAATGGCACATGACAAAGTATTTGAGAAAGGAAAACTGCAGTATTATACTTTTATTAACCCCTTCTCAGACAGAATGGATCCAGAAGAGGCCAAAGAAGGCATTTTATGGACAATTTTCCAAATATAAATTTTATAGAAAATATGTTAGAACAATATTCTAGAAATAAGTACATCCTATTTCAAATTTCATTAACTTCATTTCTAGCCAAAATGTACTTTTTATGAAAGTACATTGGAATGCCAGGTTCTAAGTCAGGTGAAATAGCCAATTTCCGATTTCATTTAGGACAACATGGGAGTGATGCACTTCAGGTCAGTAGGCCACCCCCACCCCACCCCCCCACCCCGGTTCTTCCCCCACCTGCTAGGTTTAGCAGAGGCAGTGGGCATGAGAGGAAGCAACCTAACGGCAAAGAAATGCCAGGCTTATGGCCCGTGCTCCTGCCGCTGAGTCAGATCACTGCTTCTGCCCATTGGGTTACCTGCAGGATTGGGACTCAGTGAAGCCTGGCAGGGGGAGGCCCTGGATGGGGCAGGACTGCTTCCCTTTCAGAGTATTTAAGCCCTAAACAGAGCTGGAAGCTTTGCTGTGACCAGGGCCAGGGCTTTTTCGGTGGCGGCTCCTACCTGGTGGAACGAGCTCCCGGGGGAGATCCGGGCCCTGTGGGACCTTGCGCAGTTCTGCCAGGCCTGTAAGACGGAGCTCTTCCGCCAGGCCTTTGAGTAGGAGCCGCCCCCCACTATTCCACCACCGTCAAGGTATCTTAAAGGATGCATCGACGAGGCCCGAGGAAGAACCTGGAAACTACTGAAGATCTGAGAAGCCGTCGCCATTGGACAAGTATACTATGGGAGGACCATCTGGAACTGCGGTGTTACCATCTTGGATTTAGGATATTAGTAATGGATTGAGTACTGTGGTTTTAGTGTTGGATGTTTTACTATGTTTTATATGTTTTTACCTATGGCATGGCAAATGACCTTGCCCTTGTTAGCCGCCCTGAGCCCACTGGGGAGGGCGGGATACAAATATGAAAAATAAATAAATAAATACGCCAACCAGTTCCTTAAGGGCCAGTGTGTGACTGTCTAGCTAGAAAACCCCAGACTGAGACCTAGGTCTTGGTGCTGCCCTGAAGACCATGCCCCAGCCACCAGCTACTTCATGGATCCTTGCTCCTAAGGAGCCAGCCTCAAGGCTACGCTGCCAAAAGACACAACTCCTAAATTGTCCCTGCCAGCCAAGCTCTCAGGTTCCCCACCCAAGACCCCCGTGAGAAATAAAATGAAATAAAAGGTACAGATGGGCATAGCTAGAACAGTTTTATGCTGATTAGGTACATCCTACCGACTTCTGTAAGCCGCCCTGAGCCAGTTCGCTGGGAGGGTGGGGTATAAATATGAATAATAAATAAATAAATAGGAGGTATGATGAGTCAGACTGGAGAAGGTGGACAAAAATGGAGGAATGGGCAGATGGGCAAAGGGGAGCGATGGGATCTTCTGTGGTGGCTTAGGGCAGAAACCCCAATCAGTTAGCTGGCAATGACTTGTGACTGAAACTGTGGCCTCCGAGCACCTACAACTGAATGTATGCTACATAGCACAGGGCTAGGGGTTGGCGGAGGAGGAGAATATAGGATGTCTCCTTCCCTCTTGAGTCCCCTGTTTTTGTGCTTCAATAAACATTCCACAAGTTTCTGCACAGATCCAGGTAATCAGCCATATTGGTCCATTGTATCTGAAAAAGTGTGCATGCAAACGAAAGCTCATACCTTGAATAAACCTTTGTTAGTCTTAAAGGTGCCACTGGACTATAAATTTGTTCTACAAGGTTCTGCACAATTATTTTACAAGGTAACATAAAGCAGGCAAACATGAGAATGAAAACAAGTGGTTGGCCCTTTAACATCATTTGTAGTTTGCTTCTTAGGCTGAGAACTGTTCTGAGACTGTTTTCAAGATGTTGCTTCTCGTTTTATGCTGTATTTCATGCTGTGTGGCTGGGTTTTTAATATGGAGTTTAAAGGGAACAAGGCTGTAGATTTATGCCACTGTATATGTGATGTTTGCTGGATTTGCTGTATATGTTTACTGTATATGTATATGTTTACTGTATATGTATATGTTTGCTGTATATGTTTACTGTTTGCTGGATGTACTACCCTATTCTTACTGCATTGTTTTCCGATTTGGTAACACTACTTTCTGCCCTGTTTGATCTACCAAGACTAATACTTTTTGCTTTGTTTCAAATGTTTGCAGTCTTAGTCCTATTGCATTGCTCATTTAGATGCCTCATCCGATTGATTGCATTGATGTGCACAGTGTAATCTGCACTGAGTGAAAATGACAATAAATAAAAATATTGTGCTGAATTCATTTATTTAACTGTGTTTACAGTCTGCCTTTCTCACAGAGACTCAAGGCCAATTACACTGTGTAAATCAATTAGATCAACAGGATGAGACATCTAACAAACAGGGGAAAAGGACTACAAAAACCTGAAATAAGCATAGAGTAGTAGGTATGACAGAATGCAGAGAAAGGTATTATACCAGTAGAAAATGATGCAGTAACAGCCGGATAATACATACATCAGACAGATGAAGATGGGAACCTGTGTTAAGTCTGTTGGTAGCAGTAGAAAAGAGCAAGAGTCCAGTAGCACCTTAGAGACACAGAAAATTTGTGGCATGGGATGAGCTTTCATGAGTCACTACTCACTTCTTCAAACACCTGAATTTATTTATTTTGTTAGATTTACATACCACCGTACTCACGAAAGCTCATCCCCTGCCACAACTTTTGTGCATCTTTAAGGTGCTACTTTAAGGAGCTGCGATGGCTCAAGCGGTTAAGACGCTGAACTGCAGGCTGTGGAAGGTCAGTAGTTCAGCAGTTCGAGACCCGAGTGTGCCGCATGACGGAGTGAGCTCCCATCTCTAGTTCCAGCTCCTGCCAACCTAGCAGTTCGAAAGCAAGAAATTGCAAGTAGATAAATAGGTACCACTTTGGTGGGAAGGTAACAGCGTTCCGTGCGCCTTGATGTTTAGTCATGCCGGCCACATGACCACGGAAACGTCTTCGGACAGCGCTGGCTCTTCGGCTTTGAAACGGAGATGAGCACCGCAACCCTAGAGTCGGACTTGACTGGCTTTCGAGCAAGGGAAACTGTACCTTTACTTTTTAAGGTGCTATTGGACTCCTACATCAGACAAGTAACCTGTCTTATCTACAGCCCCTTCACGTTATAAAGACATCACAGTATGGTCCGGTTACCTTTACAGAAACGCGCTCCTGAACAATTCTGTTTTACATAGTTGGTGCGTGTGTGTGTGTACGATACTACTCCTTTGGGTGCCTTGATCACTGGTCCTCTGGAAAGGCAACACGGAAACCTTCTGAACAAGGAACCAAAAGATGGCTTTGAATAGCCCTCTGTAGGGCCCGCCACAGTCAGTACGTGTCTGGGAGACCACCAAGAACGACTGGGCTTGCAGGCAATGGCATGAACCACCCCTGCACATCCCCTGCTTTGAAACCCCTATGGCAGTGGTGGCAAACCTATGGCACGGGGGCCAGAGGTGGCACTCAGAGCCCTCTCTGAGGGCACGCGTGCCATCCCCCCAGCCAGGCCCAGACCACTATTAAAGTGTCGAATTCTCTGTCAAATAATTCTAAGTAAATGAAAGCATTTGGGATCGCTTTCCTTACTTTGTTTGGATCATCTTAAGTTAATGTATGAGTTGTTTCTTCTAAACTAAAACCTCAGTATTCAGGTTAAATGGCCGTGTTGGCACTTTGCGATAAATAAGTGGGTTTTAGGTCGCAGTTTGGGGCACTCGGCCTCTAAAAGGTTCGCCACCACAGCCCTGTGGGGAGACTGGGACTTCTTCGCGACGCTGCATCCCATGGCCTTTATAAAGCGGCAAGGATACAATAATATACAAAAAATAATACAAGAAATATGTAAAATAAAATTGGAACTGGTGCCAGAAATATTCTTGCTTTAATATGCTCCCGGAAGGTATAAATTACAATGATAAATATGTAATACTGTATATGATAACAGCAGCAAGGATTTTATGGGCAAGATATTGGAAACAAGATAATACCCCCAAAAAAGAGGAAGTGACAGAGAAATTGTTGGAAGTAGCGGAAATAGATAAATTGAACTTAGTGTTACAAGGGAAAAATGAAGAACCTTTTGAAAAGCGATGGTCGGGATTGTATAATTGGATGGAAAAGGAATAAATGACTCTAAGATGCATGTATAACAGGAAACTAACGTTGTATAAATTATATAATGTTGTATAAATTATAACAGGAAACTAATGTTGTATAAAACCCAATAAAT